CTTGTGATGAGAGAGGACGGCTGTACAACAACTAGACCTCTAGGAAAAACAAGCAGAGAAGTCAATTTTGGGTCCAGTGTAAGGTGAGAATGAGAAGTCCTTAATCCCATCACCTCTGCAGAACCCGTCAAATGAAAATTACACACTTTAGATAGCAAAATACCAATATCTTTTCTAAGTAATCTGTAGCTTCACAACCGCAAAAGGCGCTGAAGCTGGAACCATTAGACAAGTCCAATTGGGAGTCAGCGATAAGAGGACGACAGTAATGAGAGAAGCACTACAAAGAGTACCACACTGGTAAGCTAACGTACATCACTGCGCCTTATAATACATTTGACAGGTCACTATGCGCTGCAACAAGTAATTGCAGCAAGGTAAACTGAAAACCACACGACGCAGTTGTTGGATGCGTTCCATTAAATTATAGATTGCTATTCAAAAAAGTATCACGAGAAAAGATTCCAAAATCTGGCAACGCCTGACGCAACTTTGGTAATCATTTAGACCACCTGCACATGGGATTTTAAGGGACTTTTGCGAAAAATTAAGCCAGTCTCATCAAAGCTGTTTACTAAGAAACTGTGAAGGAGTAGGTGATCCGCAACTCCAAAACCAATAGGTCGACACCGTGATTGTTTTTAAAAAAAGCAGTTCAAAAAATTACGCGGACTGGTCAAAGGCCACTAACTTTTAACAAGCTCGGGAGCTATAAACCTAATTTTAAACAATGTGATCCTCATTAAAGAAAAGTATTTTTATCAAACTCTACAATTGAAATCGGGAGCACTTTTTGACTTATTGCATGTAGCAGGAAGAATGCATCCTCTGCAAAAAGTTAGTTGTGTCAGAAAGTGGTTTTAGTATCTGGTTCAGGGTGAGGATTTGAAAAACACCTAACTGCATCATCCCTAAAAAACACAAACTCACTCGCCAAGAGCTGGTGGATTGACGAGGAGGCCTTCAGATGGGCAACATCATTCGATTATCGCTGAATAAAGTGGCACCAGCGTCTTTGAAAATTTTGCCATTTGACTCAAATAATAAGCACATTTATGGGGACTTATCTTGCAGTTTTTGCGTCCGTAGACGGCTTTAAGAATCGCATTCAAAGAAACTCGGATTAACACAAATTGGACCAACCTCAAACGCATTTGCCAAATCAAAGTAGGCGGCTACGAACTGTTAACCCATACAGAAGTCAGCAACTGTAGGATTTGCGAACTTACGCCTCGGTGATAGGTTGAATAGTGCTAATTTCAGAAAGTGGGAACCTGAAAAGGTAGAAGATACATAAATGTTAAGATCTTGACGGAACAAAGCAAGAAATGCTGAAGTTTTCAAGGCCTAATTTTCCACAAAGACCCATCAACCCATTCCCCAATTTGAAAAAAAGAAGAACCAACCTAGCCGTGGAAGAGACATCTTGACAGCTCGTGGGTATTTGAGGTCTACAGAAAAAGAAGAATAAATTAAAAAACTGTCGCCTTAATATCAAATGGCCAAAACCCACCAAGACTTTAAAATTAGAGCCAGGTCAATCAGTTCTACTAGTCCCAAATAGACTATTAATGGATAATGTAAATGGTAAGACCAAGAATTTTCTCACTCAATGATTCATTTAACTAGATGAATAATCAAGTCAAGGTAAATAGGCAGCTCAACGACACTTCTGTGGCACTAAAACACTTCTTACACGATGTTTTATCGAAGTGAATCGGCAGTATCTAATAAACACAAAGCTTCAAAATGCTCGGATGGAAATGTGAAACCTTACTCAGAAATATGCAGAACTTCAGGCTCCATAAGAGGAGGGGCCTCAATTCTGAAACCCAAAAGAATGTTAGGCGTCAAGAACGAGACAAAAGAGGTATCCTCAGATAGGAATTTTGTCTAACTTCAGGCGGTTGATTGACAAAAAGGTGTGAAGGAAAAGGCGTCAAATCAGCCGTCCAATGCACTCCGTTGTCATCATAGGAAGAAAAAACTTACTCGCTCAGAAGGATTTGACTTTCTTCCCGTTTTGACTGCTCGTCAATATTATCGAGTCTGTAAGCAAAAATGTATGGCGGAGCGAAAGAGTTTCACAAATAAACAGTCAGAAAACTTACTCGTAAACAGACGATTGTCGTGTGCGCTTGCGAAGAGGCTGTAAAGTTTCCAAAGTGCTTTTGCGCGGAAGAAGATCCTCAATACGAATTCGACTATGAACAAAAGTAGGAGCTTTACGAAATCAACATACTTCTCCTTATCATCAGGGCTCAAATTCAACACAGATTGTTGTCTAAAAATATCAAAGAGTAACGATGAAACGAAGTCCCCAAAGTAATGGTACGAAAAGAGGAAAGATTACCTGCTACTTCTGATAGGATCTTGGAATAACCCACAGACAGCTTCAGCTGACGCAGAAGCGTTATTACCCAAAAGATCGGATAGAAGCTCTGTTTGGAAGTCTTCACCAAAAACGAGACCAGATTCGGCCTGTTAACTATAACTGCGGCAGGTAATTCTAACTTACTCTAGGTGTGGTCGCTGCGTCAATAAGAGTTATATCTTCCAATCTTGCTTGCAAAGAAAAGGAATTATCCAAACTAGGCATGGACTACAAGGGGATCACTAAGAAAAGCAACCAACTATTTCGAAATCGGGTTGTGATGCCACCAGTTGTCCTAGAAGGTTGAATGAGCCGAAGTCATCGTTTGATGTAAGTGGAAGTTCAATATCGACATCACATCGCGATTTACCTCGTGACTTGCTACAATAAAATGGCAGGAAACAAGATTGGAAAAGTAAAAACAGCTTAATAAAAAGCCGCACTCTGCGAAATAACGGAACCGGCATCTTAACAAAAACAGAACCGGCGTTTACCGAACTTCATCTATTTGTACAGAATGCGGTCGGAATGATACCAACGCTCGAGAATACAGATCATTTGCGTCACCTGTTATTAAAAACTGCCACATGAACGCCGAAGTGCACAGAGTGGGGCTTGAAAATGCAAGCACTTACGTAGAACGATGCAAACTTTCTCCACGTAGACTCTGCACAAACCATACATTAGCTGTGCTGAGAGATACAAAGACAAACGAGATCTTTTAGAGCCATTAACGTACTCCAATAGTTCAGAACTAAGCAAAAAAATGATGATATCTGACTCGCCATACCATGAGCTCACAATATCAACAGCGAGTATATCACGCTTACTCACGCGCGTAACACCACGTGTGGCTGCCAACCTTAAAAAATTGGAACAACAGCGAAACTTTACCATAAAACACCAAAACGTCCCTTCTTCAATGAAAGTAAGTCATTCGAGTAAAACATGTTCGAAGTGAGAGCACCATCCGTACGAAAACAACCAGCTTGAAAAGACCTAATACGCTAAAACAAATAAGTAATAATATGGTAATGCATGTAGCAGATAGCCAATGCGCATCGAATCAAAAAATTGGGCATAACAAACATCTCCATCATAAAATGAAAAATTTTTTCTAGAACCGGAAGGAGATAGTTATTCAAATAGAAATATTAGTAATGTGAAGAAATCAGGTGGTAATGACCCGTAATTGCTTTCGGAATTCTATTGATTGAAGTCTTTCTGTAGCTTTTTAAGAACAACAAGGGGCACAATACTCAAGCAGAGCATATATGTTAGGCGTAAAAAGGATCTGGGTGCTGCAAATGCAATACGGCCATGGTGAAGAGCCGCTTTTGACTTGGCCATTTCACTACACCAAGTGAGCTGGCCTTCAAGCAGTATCAGTAGCTCATATATCCCCTGTATGTCAAATATATGTATTCTCTGCCCCAGCATTACGTATCCTTTCATCTTCAGGAAAATCTAGGTGTGCTATAAATGCCATGGCCCGAGGATCAGCCCATCCGGCGAGGAACGGTGTACAAGACAGGGTGGTACTTTACCAAAACCGACCATTAAACTAACGGCCAACGCAGCACATTTGCAATTATTTCATAAAATTGGGTTTAAAAAAAACGCCTCCCTAATAGATATTGGGTTGACTCTACTGAGCCACGGGTGTACTGTGGGGAGGGTTTGAAAAACTTCAGTGGCATATTAAATGGACCCCACTTAGTCAACTGACGTTCTTTTAAATGAATTGTAATGAAGTGTCTTTTTCTAAAGACCATAAAGCCTTTTCGAAACACCGCTTAGAGCGTGCTTTCTTGAAAATATTCCGTAGCTTCTGATATACTTTCAACTTTTTAAACAAAACAACCTGCAGAGACCACTAATTTTAAGACCACAAAATTCATTTTTCTTACACAAATAGCGTAACTTTTAAGATGAGAAGGATACTTTGTTGTGCTCAAAAAATTGGCCCACATAGTTTTATCTCCCATTAGGGTTATTTCAAAGGCAGAGAATCTGCAGCATAAATAGGCCTTTGTTTCTTTGTTGTATTTTGTCTTTCCATTCCTTTTACTTTCTAATTCTGTTCCGAACGGAAATGGCAGGAACTATGGCTTTTAATGGGCCAATCCGCATCTAGTACATATACCAGCGTGTGTGTGCCTTGACATCAGCGCGAGATGTGTGAGGCTACTGAGAAGATCAAACCGTTGACTGAAGAGCAGATAGTCGAAGGTTTTCAGAAACTGCGTTATGAACAAAGGGCAATAGCCAATAAAATTACTGGGCTCGAAATGGACCAGAGGGAGCATAAGTAAGTGGATAATTATGTGATATGGCATTACCATAATATACGTGATCTTATGGATATTAAATATTGCCATATTGGTAATTATACTTCAACTTACACGAGTAGTTTTGTCGAAGACTGGGGAGGTCTCTAGGAATATGCGTTTAAAATTCCTTGAAACTTTCTTACAATTTCGTAAATGACAACTTGGACGGTTCGACAAAACTCTAGTGTCATCAGATGCACCGACATTCCGATTTTTTACATTTTTGTAAGTTTTATTTGTGGAAACTTTTTTGTTTGCTCCTGTTTGCGCCTGTCTTTTTATTCGCTAATTGGCAGTTTCTCAACACAAGCATTTTAAAACACCGCCGCAATCGCAAATATTTTATTGAAGCACATGTAATGACCACTTTTACTTATAGTATGGTCATCAAGGTGCTGAAGGACGTGGATTCCGAACGTAAATGCTTCCGATTAATCGACGGTGTACTGGTCGAACGTCAGGTTAAACATGTCCTTCCCGCGCTCGTGGCGAATGAAAAGAAGGCAAGTGCAATTTACTCATTTTAATGGAGTACTCGAAGTCTGTGAAATTTTTTGGTTCCTCTAATTGAAGTTGCTGGAACTATACCTGAGTACTTTCCCCATTATTACTGCGAACCAAATCTTACGCTTATTTGGTGTCTCCATTTTTTATCCTAGTCGCTTTCTGTCTAAGTTTTCAAATTATCTGTAGTAACTTTCGCAACCGTTAAATCACATCCCTACGAGAAATTTATTTGACGGCGGGGGTGTTGTACAACCTGATTTTTATGGGGGTTTTTTATCGCTACATCGTTTTCTTGAAAATACTAGCGTCGCTCAAACAAATCACCCGGACTGTGATCTCAAATTTTGTGTGCTGTACTCTCGCCAGCTGTTACTGCGGTGGGTACTTGTTGCATAGTTAATCAGACTTCGGTCTTTATTCGAGTGAGTTTGAGGTAAAAGTAAAAATAATTACTCTAAACTGAAACAGCACTAGCCATTATTTTCAGGGTCAAGTTCTAATCAATTTCAGTTCGATCTATTTCACCTGTCGATGTGATTCTTCAAAATCCCTCCTTGGATCGATATTCTCCCCATGATAAATCAGTACTTTGTTATTATTTTTAAATATTTTGACAGTATAAATATTCAAAATTCTTCAGGAAAAATGGCGGTGCCATAAGTAACTAAAAAAGCCAGCGTCTTATTTCTTGCATTCAAGAAATACGCACGCTTACGCTCCTGACTACTTTGTACGCATTGATGCCCTTCCAAACTTATCGTGGCTTCGTCATTTGCAAAATGCTACGGCTAAATGCGTGCTCTTTTTTATCAAACAATTAGGTTTCGTACTTTCTCGTAATGAGTCGATTGCTCGACAAAGTTTTTAGGCAGTGATAACCCTATCTAAGTCTTTTATTGCATAGTTGCTATATTTAACCCATTCATTTAAATCTAAGCACACACTACATATTAATTTGTTTGAAGGTTGATTTTTGTAGTCTGAAGCATTACTAGGTCGATCCAAATTATAATTTGAGAAGTTGTTTTCGGATTTTCCTATGTGTTTTCGTTAACAAAGGGTATTGTACTATCAACTGGGTTTGAGTTTTACTTTAAATAGTGGAACATGCTTGATCTAGTTGTCATTTCACAACCCCCTATAGTTAATTTCTCCTGTTCTTTTTCACTCTGCTTCCTCAGAATTTTCTAGTTAAACCTTTGTTTACACGCGCACGAAAATCCTTTAGACTGTGTACCAGGTCACACATTTTCGACATTTTAGGCCCACGCAAAGTTATGTGTGATTTTGACTTCCCTTTGGTTTTTATCAGAGCTGAGTCATCTTGACCGAATCATCAGGGCTTTTGCAAAGGAATCTTTTTTTGTCTGTTGCGCAATTAGTTTCTCAAACGAGCAGGTCCACTAACCTGTGACAAGGAAGGACATTGTGCTGTGATGTGTTGTGTGAGAATGAGGTGATTAGCTTCACCCTTTTGCATTTACAAAACAAGAAAAGTTCATCGCACCTCCCACACACAAATTCGCATTTCCGTTCCGGGCCAACTGCTCTTTCCTGTTGCCCGCTGCACCCGAGAAATTAGGACTTATTTTCTTAGGGCAAATGATTATATTCTTTGGGGAGCTTGGCAATTGTGTTTTTTCTCGTTGAACAATTTGATCATTTGAAGATCAATGTGTGGTGCAGTTTCGATGATTTTGTTTTGTTATCGCTTTAATACAGTTGCGGGGAAAGTTGGTGATGCTTTTTCGCACGATATCTCCCAATAACTTTCTCTGGATTATCAATGCTATCCCCTTGAAATGGTACCGCATTTGTGCGTTGCATTCCTGTGCTTCTGAACGCGGACCCCTTTTTTGTCATTGCCAATCGGCGTTTATTTACGCATTTTACCCGTTTAGAGTTGTAAGACTACGCTTCAAGAAGTGATTTTCTTCCAAAAGATCATTTTTTGGCTTTTTTGAGTGACAGATATTTGAATGCTTCTTGGTGTTTTTTCGGAAAATTGTGGAAATGAATGAAGTGCAGTTCGTTTGAATTTTTTACTCATGGTGGTAGGAAACAAATTTTTTTACTATAGCGTAGTACCTTAAACCTTTTTGCACCAATTTTTCAACTTCAACTTGTGAAATTTTTATCTGTGGCCAGTTAGTCATTTGCGCTTTGGATCATCTCATGCACCTCCTATCAGCCTTTAGGTCCAAATCAGTGTGCCTGTTTCAGTGACGAACTGCCAGTCTCTCTTTTCACTCTTAGACTGGGCATTAGGGGCAAAATAAACCATTTTGCTTTTATTCACCTCATTTATGATGATAAAACAGGTTCATTGGTTTTAAAACGACTTTATTCTATTAATTCCTCCTCGAAATGGCGCCAATTCGCTACGAATTTCACGATTTGCATAGCTTTTTCGTTTTTTGAGAGCGTAAGAACAAAAATTTATTCGTAGTCACCACCGTTGTAGTTTCACTTTTACTCCTCATTTTTCCAGTCAACTTTCATGCGCTTGTCTAATGCTAAGGCCAAGAAAAGGCGAATGCCTACGTTCAGGGTGTATGAATGCGGAGCAGTCTCATTCTCCTCCTCCTCCTCCTTTTAAAGTGTGGTATGAGGAAGTTTTTTTTTGCTGCTCGTGTGTCTTCTTGTAAGAAGTGGACTTTGTTTCATTTGACTGACCCACAGGGGGCCTTTTCTCGCACATCTTCGAGTTGTATCCTACCGTGAAAGTAAGTGGACAGATAGGTGGAAGTCGTAATTGTCATCTGGCTTTTAATCAGTGAGCGAGCCCGCCTACAGACCGCCGTATACACACGCATATGCAATGCGAGCATATTCTTTTAAGAAGGAAGTATGTTTATCTAGTACCGGAGTACAAATTCCATTTCTCATCACAAGACAGCCAGCAGACAATCTGGGAATGACGCACTTTTACAAGTTGAAAAGTGTGAAGTACAATTGGGTAGACTTTGAACTTTACTGTCATCTGATAATAGCAGTCCAGATGAAATCATGGTAAAAAATAATGGAGTCTCAAACTGCCTTGAAAGTAGTCGATTCGAGGATTGATGCGGTGTCCGATGTGGAATCTAATGTTTTGGTTTGCTTTTAAAGTCCAATAAATCGTCAGATTAATAAAAGTGCTTGGGCTTCAAGAATGGCGCTGCGACCAACACTGTCTAAATTGAAGTTTGTTTAATTGCTTTTTTCCTTCTCCATAGATGGCCGAGGCCCTAGAGGCTCTACGACGCCAATTCGATGAGAAAGGAGTGGAACTGCAGGTCTACAAGGAGGAGCACAAGATCCGATTGGCTGGTGAGGATCCCGTTGATAATGGCAGTGGCGCCACCGGGACCAGTGGCAGCGACAGTGGTGAAAAGAGTGGTGGTGGTGCCTCCGCAGCCTCTGCATCCTCTGGAGTCCTTGTCACGTAGACCGGCTCCTTACTCTCCCTCCCCATCCTTGGCATTCCACTCTCTTATCCCCTCACCTCTTCCCATCCCCGTTCTTCAGCCCTTGCTCCTACCGCTTTTGTGTGTGCCCTCCTTGCCTGTGCCAGTGTGCATGCGAGCGCTTCTCTGTAACCTACTTAATTAACTTTATAAGTAGCTCTTGCGGATGTTCATCTGCTGGTGTTATTTGCGCCTCTCACGTCGGGAAGGCGGGTCATTGTAATCAAGCAATATGCAAGGATTTCTCTAGTCTCCTACGGTTCTGCTACTAAATTTGACGTATCACCTAAGTCATTAATCGCCAAAATCAGCTAGTAAGTGGTAGGACTCTAGGGTCCGCTTAAAGGGTAAGCAAAACCAGCGCATGAGACGGACAGTGATGAGCTTCAGGTCTTGGATACTGCACTAAATCCTCGGAAAAAATAAGGGAGCTATGAGTCAGTGAGTTCGTAGGGATCCACGGTGGGGAGACCGTCGAAACCGCCCCAACAATCGGCAGTCACCCTGGTCTCAAGTTCGCAAATTGCAAGCATATGCAAAGGCAGCTCTATCTGCAAGATGTTGGGTATTCATTAAATAAGTGGCCGGATAGCAACGGGGAGGGGAGGAATGGGAGAAGAACAAAACCGGTAGATGCTACTGTGTTAAGCGAATTCGCCTAAAACACGACCGGTATGCGAGGTGCTTCCGTTGTTGAATGTCCTATAGCCATCCACAAAGTCAGGGATCCAGCTTTCTCACCAGAAAGACAGAGGGACACTTCACTGCAAGACAGTTAATTGCCTTTATATTCACAGCTACACCCTGGTGACTGCGTTTGTGTCATCGCTAGGAGTGGCCTCCCACGAGTCATACACGCACTGTTTTCTTTGTTGTGTAGCTTAATCCAATCTCAGCAATCACGTTGACTACCACCTTCAAAGAAAAAGCAGCTCGAGGTTCGAAATAATCATGGTAACTTGACGTGAAAAAAATTGAACGTCGTAGATTTGACTTAGGGGAACCCTGGATAAGCTACTTAAACAACGCAAGTAGAAGGCGCAAGTACAGGCAATCTCACCCCAGAAAAATCGTGGAAAAAGTGAAGACTCCATACAAATAAAGTGGATATTCTATCGTCCTCCACTGAGGCAGTTCGTTCTGTCTTCACACATAATCCGCTTCACCAGATTTCACTTGGAAATCAGCAGAACGGCATGAGAGAAAGAGTAACGAAGAAAAGTGGGGAAAAGGGAATAAGCCACAGGAGTAAGTAAAGATGATACACATACGCACGTACATGCGTAGGAGGTAAAGTGAAATCGAAAGTCGGGCGCAAGAGCTGATCAAGTAGAAGGAGATGTCGAAGTCTCACTCCTGATATGATATACAAATATGCGGGGAGTGAGAGTGAGAGAGTAACTACAGCTCTTAGGCTAAGTGTGGTATCCATGACGGCGGCAGAATGTCACATGTGTGTGTGTGCATTTTGAGCGAAAGATGAGCGGGAAATAGGCCTCCTCGGGCTATGAGGAAGCCGGCTACACCTAAAGCACAGGAGAGCGCAGATCTACTCGTCCACACCGAATATGGCTTCCATGCGCCGAAGCACACTTTGCACAACCTGACGTAGAACCGAGGGTTTCGAAGACTCCTCATTTTCGTCGGAGTACGCAGGCGTCTTTTTCTTCGGTTTCGGTGCTTTCCCAAAAACAGATTTCACTTCGTCGTCATCAATGTCACTGTCGAATACCGGTCGCTTCTTCGTCGGTGCTTTTTCTGGAAGAAAAGGAGTGTACAAATGTTGCGCTTTCTGGTCAGTTAGATTTGGCCACGGCTCGTGCATAATGACATGCGGGTGAAGGGAACTCCAATACGTCATAAATAGATCATCAATGGTCTTCGAAAGAGGGCGGATTTTACTAGGTTAAGCACATCGTCAAAATAAAAGTGGCTTAACATCTCAAATAGAGTATCCCGACCATGACCTGACACAAATTGAAAATGGAAATATGCGCCTTCCTTCCTATCTACCTTTTGGCAGTGCGAGGGTGTCAAAGAATACCAAAACCTGAGGACAAGCGTTTTCTAAAGCAAAAAAAGCGTTTGAATAATGTGAGGCAAACTGAAGGGGATATACTCTGATTTAAATAGCATGACAGCAGAGCGTTTAATTGTTGTTGGGGTAAAAAAGTAGAAAAGCCGAGAGTCTAAGGCATCGTTAAGAGGTTGACATTCAACCAAAGCCTGTTTAATAAAAGCTTTGACTGTGCGCCAAGACCGTAAGGGAATTTGTGCTTTTTTTCAAACTACCTCTCTGTAGTGACTTCTACGGCTGATTGAATATGCCTACCGCATGGTGCAGCCCATTTTGCCCTAGTCTGGCCTCACGACGTGGCGGTTCTATCCGATGGACGTGATTCAAGCTTGTCTACTCGAAGAATCGAGTTTGACTTGCTCCCAGAGCTGCGACATCAAATTTGGAGGACGGCATAAGAGCGCCCGGCCCAAACAAATTCCGATGGTGAACCATTCAAAGGTGGGCGCACCACGCTTAAACAGATATTTCAGTCTTGATTACAAATACTTCTGAGTACCTCTTGTTTCAAGTCATTTAATACCTGCGTGTGAAGAAATTCCAGCACTATTTCAAGTGGGTAATGGGATAACGAATCTATACCTACATCCACTGAAAGGGGAAAATTGTGGGAGCTGCTAGACGAACGAGTCACAGATGACATACATTAACCGAGGGCAATAGACTCCAAAAAATACCAACGTCTCCATCATCTTTAACCCTTTCTCATAGATTAGCAACAACGCGGCGACTGTTCCCCACAAAAGTGACTTGTGGTGAAAAATGGCTTTCGATACGCCACATTTCTACGCCATGCACCACTTTGTCCCTAAGCAACCACGCCCGATTTCTGTTTCCTGGACCAAAATGTCAGATAAAAGAGAGCGTCGCAACAAACCTACGTGAACATTACAATGAAGGATAGTGATGACCATCTGGCTACGACAATGAAACTGCAGAATGCAATTGACCGACTTGAAGTTAAATTTCATTAAAAATTTTTTTGAAATGTTCAAGGATGATAAAAGTACAATAATGGAAGCACTCAAATCTACGTCCTTAAAAAATGGAATCAATTAGTATATTTGAGCGGATAGGTTAATAGTTCCAAGCTTTTACTGAAATAAAATTCAGTAGTACGCATGAATCTTAATCATCATACTAAGGATAAACTTTTGAGGAAAACACTGAGATATATCGACAGGACTTTTCCGAAAGAGGAGATTTAGCCACCCATAACCACACATGCTCGGATGATTGCTTAAAAGATATACAGTAACGGATGCTAATGAATTGATTGAGGCTTATTTCAGGAGTACACAGTGAAAACTTTTCCCCCTGTTGATTATTTACGATTTTTCTTGTGACAATATCAAGAGGCATTCAGATCTTCAACAAAGCATTCCCGACGAAGCGGGTTTCTGCCTAAACCGACACCAGGAGACACTGAAGCCATGCTTGGGGAAAGCGATAGGAGAGACTAAAGCACCATAGACGGCTATTATTACCATTAATGGATTAGTAGTAGAGACACTGGTAGCACTCTCGTCAACTCAACAAACCTGAGAGCATTGGGCTCAGGGTGATCTGAATATGCGCACGGATGGTGGATAGGAGGTAGGAATTACTCACTGCCTCATCGTCTTCTGCCTTCTTCACTTTCCTCCTTGATGTCATCACTTTGGCTGTAAGAAATAAGGCGTGATTTCATTATGTCTTCGGCAACTACGAACTCAAACTTTCAAAGCATCTGCCTATGGCAAGGTAGGACAGGAGTTCCCTGCAGAATTCCAATTCCAGAAGGGTGGATCGTGCACTACTGGGCTGGCTCAGTGTCCCACAGAGTTGATTCCCTTTTTCTCTTCTCAAATCAAAGTTACTTCGAGTCATTTTCGAGTTCGTCACAAGTGTTGTTCCATTGCAGTCGGTAAACAAATTCACAAAGGGATGCGTTAGCCAAAAAGTAGCGTCTAATTCGTTCACAAAGTAAGGAGTTAAGGCCATGCGTTTAACTAAATGACCAGATCAAAAAGGACGAGTTCATTGCGTCATAAAATGTGATACTTCGTAAATAAATTGCATAAATTAGATGAGACATGAAAAAAATGTGAGTATCTACAGTGATTCTGAAGTAAATCAAGGTGGTACAATCCAAGTGTTTGCGTACTCAGTAGAGACCAGGATCTTGGGGCAAACGATTGAGAAGCAATGGTCTTCTCGGTTGCAGAATCAAAGTTAGCTTAGCTCATTAAATCCACCACGAACTTAGATGATCATGCACTAGAGCATCAAAAATTAAATGAATCCATTTATGTAGCGCATAAGCGTAGAGAGAACCAATCAAGGCAAGCATATTAAGCCCACCCAACACAGAGTCACTTTAGATGTGCCCATCAACGGAAGACGTGGAATACTTTTTTGTTTTTAATTACGTGATTATAAAAGTTGCTAGGAGGTTTGACGTGGAAATGCTCCAGGTGCCAAAATCGAAATGAAACCGATAACCAGTTGAAAAAGACGTAAGAAACGGTAGGGGATGCAAGGCGAATCTATATCTGACTTGAGAAATAAGGCAAAAAATTCTTCCACGGGAAAAAACCAGTCCAAATAATTGAATTAATAAATTTTTTGACCAAATTTGAAGATACTACCTCACCTACTGCCATGCATCTTAAAAATTCGACTCTTCCAAACCAATTAAAACTTAAAAAAGTAGATTTTTGTCTCAAGTGTAAAGTGACATGAGACAAAAAAATTTCGTTTTCTTGCCTTTCGCATCATTAGATCTTACTTTAGTGGTAATGTGCATTCATTTTCAGCTGTGAATTAACGAGCATAACAAGTAGACTACAATCTACATCAACGGTCATGCGATTACCGGGTTTGATCGATGGCTTAGCAACAGTTTGTGGGGCTAAAATTCACGGAAGCGCGATCAGAATGAAGCCTTGCGCATGCATGGAAGTGGAGGGTATAAAGCCACAGTGGAATTACTCGGATCGACGATTGTTTTGGACGGCTTTGCAATTGTAGGCGGTTTTGCAGTCATTGGTTTCCCAACTGAAATATACAAAAATTCGGAAGACATGGTAGGTTTTTTGTGAGTGAGAAAATTGCCCTAAGGATATTTGATTAAAGGCATGAATCAGAAAGAAGATTAATCTACCAAGACCTTCCTGGTTCTTCAATGCTAAGACAGCAGTACATTTGTAGTTTGAAACTAAACAAATGTAAAATGTAAATGTAAATCAACTGAAGATCATGCCGTGATACTGAGCATAAGCAAACGACTAATAAAATCACTTTACGCATTTGTTTTTTGCCTGTCCTCAAAAAAATTAGCCACGGTTTCTTTAAAAGCGATTTCATCAACTTTTTCAGTTAGGGTCTTCTGCATTGAACGTTGAATGTTAAAGTCAGTCAAATTTCCGACGGTTTTCGTAGTCTAACACACTTGTGAGATTTATATAAGTACCCAATCAAGTAACCGGTCAGAATAAAACAAACCAATAAAAGATGCCCAGAAGATCGCTAACCAATCAACTCAGAGGTAAAGCCAACTCACTAATCTTGGTTGGTGGCGGTGGAATTCTTCTGGGAGGTCGAGTCTTCTCCTGTTTGTCAGGAATTCCATCACCGTCAGAATCCTCCTTGTCATCTGGAATGCCATCCTCATCATCGTCACTGTCGAGATAGTCAGGAACTCCGTCGTTGTCATCATCGGTGTCTAGTAAGTCGATGATGCCTACAAGGAAGTCGAGTGAATATACGGTGGTATGCAGACAGTCTATTTTTCTTCGACTCGGCCCGTGCACTGGTGGAATGCAGCCGTACCCATACCAACTATGCAACTGGTCTCCTACCTCCCTAGGACGCCTATAACTCCTTCAGGATTATTTCCATTGCCACAATACTTCAATTGCACGGGAATAAAGTGAGCTTAAAGAGACCATTAAGCCCCATGGATAAAAGCTATTCAAGCCAACACTAGAACCAACATACCATCGCCGTCGGAATCCTTCATTTCCATTGTGTCAGGCACAGAATTCATGTTCTCATCTTCCTCATCATCTGGAATTCCTGTAACATCCCAAAACAAATGGATGCAGGAAATATTATACCATATTCAACACTTTTTGACTCTGTTCTGCAAGCATAATCAACTTTGTAACAACCTATACCCCGTAAGACTGCCTTGAACCCCGACGCTTACCATCGTTATCATCGTCATCATCTTCACTATCAGGAATTCCATCATTGTCATCATCATTGTCGCCAAGGTAGTCAGGAATCCCATCCCCATCAGTGTCCTTTGCTTCCAAATAATCTAACATTTGATTCCCATCTTTGTCTTCGTGTATATCCGGTGTGCCATCGTTGTCATCATCATCGTCTGTTAATCAAAATCAAAAGTAGTAATATATCAGCTTTAATAGCATCAAAGGCATTGCTTTATCAAGTTCAAAGATTGCTTAAAAGGAGAAATTTTAAGAGTCAATTTGGAAGCTGCTATGCCACAGCGAACGCCAACATCATCATCACCATCATGCATCGCACCATCCATGCGACGTGGCTGAGACAGAGACGCTACTTAATCTAAAATAAGTACAACTGGTGCACAGGTTATCCACAAGTGCAGTGCACGAGGTGGGGTAAATCACAAAGCACGTCTCGGAAGCAGACAGGCAGGTGAAAGCAGACCGTCCAGGAGTTGCGTGTGCGTGTAAGTATGTGTGTCCACAGCTAATGCTGCGTGCGTGCAGAGCGGAGAGATATGGAGTACCTTCAACATCTGGGATTCCATCATTGTCGTCGTCTTCATCATACAGATCTATCACTCCATCTCCGTCAGTATCTTTCATTTCCAAGTAATCTGGGCACCAATTCTTATTTTTATCAACCACTAAAAAAAGAAAAGCAATTGGTAAAATACCCCACCTTTGCACTACAGACTAAAACAATCGGATTTTAGCTGTCAACCTACCCTTTCCATGTCCAACTGTCGGCCCCTTGGGTATTTTTGCAGAGGCTACTGGTGGAGATCCCTTCTTGCCACGAAAAGCTGGAGAGTCTTCGTCGAGGTAGTCGGGGATTCCATCACTATCTTCATCTTCTTGATAGTCTGGAATGCCGTCACCGTCAGAATCACCTTCGAGATCATCGGGAATACCATCGCCATCATCGTCATCGTCGAGATAATCGGGGATCCCATCGTTATCGTCATCATCGTCTAGATAATCAGGAATTCCGTCACCATCAGTATCTTCTTTATAGTCGGGAATTCCATCTCCATCCGAATCGCCTTCTAGGTAATCTGGAATACCATTGCCATTGTCATCGATGTCAACGGCATCTGGGACCCCATCATTGTCGTCATCATCATCGAGATAATCAGGGATCCCATCGCCATCACTGTCCTCCTGATCATCTGGAACTCCATCTCCGTCATCATCATCGTCATTAGTGTCTGGGATGCTGTCATAATCGTCGTCGTTATCCAGATAATTGGGGATCCCGTCACCATCGGAATCTTCCATATAATCGGGAATCCCATCACCGTCAGAGTCACCCTCTAGATGATCTGGGACTCCGTTTCCATCAGCATCATCATCAAGGTAATCAGGAATACCATCACCATCTTCGTCTTCTTTGTAGTCAGGAATTCCGTCCCCATCAGAATCCTTTTCTAGATAGTCAGGGATCCCATTCCCATCCACATCAGCGTCAAGCTGATCCGGTATTCCATCGTTATCGTCATCTTCATCCAGATAGTCTGGAATACCATCGCCATCTGAGTCTTCGAGATAGTCAGGAACGCCATCACCATCGTTGTCACCTTCCAAATGATCTGGAATCCCGTCACCATCAGAGTCTTCATCCAAGTAATCAGGAATCCCATCACCATCCTCATCTTCCATATAATCTGGAATACCGTCCCCGTCACTATCGCCTTCCAAATAATCGGGGATTCCATTTCCATCATCATCATCTTCATCATCATTAACTCCGTCACCATCTACATCATCGTCTAGGTAGTCAGGAATCCCATCTCCATCTTGGTCTTCCATATAATCAGGAACTCCATCTTCATCAGTGTCACCTTCCAGATCGTCCGGAATCCCATCACCATCTTCATCCTTCATTCGCCTTGCTTTCACAAGCTTCCATGATGGTTTATTTTTCTTTCGATTGTCTTTTTTATCCATGTAGTCGGGAATACCATCGTTGTCTGCATCTTCGAGGTAGTTTGGGATACCATCACCATCCCAGTCTTCCAGATAATCCGGGATTCCGTTGTTATTAGTATCCTGCTGAAATACATCATCATTGAAGTCGATGTCATCGTCATTATCATCGGAAGGAGTGACGACTGGAAGATCGGTATCAATGCTGGCATCAACATCGAGATAATTCGGAATGCCATCGCCGTCTTGGTCTTCTAGATAGTCGGGAATCCCATCACCGTCAGAATCCTCCAAGTAGTCTGGAATACCATCGCCATCTGAGTCATCTTTTAAAGCGTCAGGAATTCCATCTCCATCCTTATCTATTTTTGATGAAAGTCTTGCCTGTTTGAAGTGAGTCAATGTGAAGATACTTGGATCTTCATCCAGATAGTCGGGGATCCCGTCTCCATCAGCATCTTCAAGATAATCAGGGATTCCATCTCCATCTGCATCTTCCAAGTAATCCGCGACCCCATCACCGTTGGCATCGCCTTCAAGAGCATCAGGAATTCCATCGTTGTTCTCGTCTTCCAGATGATCCATAATGCCGTCACCATCACTATCGACAAAACGAGACAACTTTTGCGTTTGTTTGGGCAACTGATGATGAGCGACTTCCAAATCAATGCAGTCTGGAATACCGTCCCCATCAGCATCTTCTAGGTAGTCAGGGATCCCATCATTATCACTGTCACCATCACAAGAATCAGGAATACCATCCTTATCCTTATCTATTAGTGCAAGCGCCTTGACCTTTGTTTTCATGTAGTACCGACTGTCTTTATCCATGTAGTTTGGAATGCCATCTCCATCCGAATCGTCGAGGAAGTTTGGAATACCGTCATCGTCATCATCTTCCATTAGATCGGAAATCCCATCATTATCGGAATCAGCAACGGCGAGGTGTTTCCCATGACGTGATTTTCCACTCTTACCCTTTTTTGTCGTTTTTGGAGGCTGTGGTTTCGCCTTCACCTTTTTCGAAACAGGAGGCTCATCATCGAGGTAGTTTGGAATTCCATCACCGTCTGAATCTTCCAGGAAGTTAGGAATTCCATCATTATCATCGTCTTCGAGAAAATCTGGAATTCCATCTCCATCATCATCTTCCAGGTAGTCAGGAATTCCATCACCATCTTTATCACCTTGAAGGTGATCCGGAACTCCGTCTCCATCATGATCAACATGCTTTGGAAGCTTTTTTGCCTTCAAGATAAAGAACCTACTATCACGATCTAGCATATTCGGCACCCCATCACCATCGTCATCTTCATAGTAGTCCAGCATTCCATCATTGTCGTCGTCAGTTAGGAAATCGGGTGCACCGTCAGAGTCTGAATCAACTTCCAACACATCGGGAATCTTGTCCCCATCAGCGTCCAACATTTTAATTAACTTCATGTAGAATTTGTAGCGCTGAGAAAATGAGGGAGTATCCTCGTCAAGATAGTTCGGAATTCCATCTCCATCCTCGTCTTCCAGATAGTCAGGAATGCCATCTTTGTCTGAGTCCTTCAAAGAAGGCTTAAATTTAGGTATATTAGCCTGTTTACATGATCCATCCTTCTTAGTGCACGCAGCTGGTCTCTTTGCAGCTTCTGCCTTGTAAAGTTTGTGATCCTTGTCCAGGTAATTTGGAATACCATCTCCGTCATCGTCTTTCAAATAATCACCGATAGTTTCACCCCTTGAGGTCTGCTTCTTGCCTGCCTGCTTCGGAGGTACTTTAGGTTTTTTTGTAGCAGCTACAAGAGGCTTTTTAGCAGTCCTTTGCAGTAGCCTTCGACCAAAAAATGGTGGAACATCATCTTGAACCAACTCTCCTAGTTAAAGGAATCAAAAACAACAACGATCAGGAATATCCTCCAGCAAGCTCTTAAAGGAGCACTACTACCGACTGATCATGCATGCACAAGCAGTCAGCATGCTTTCTTTAAACTCCGTGATGCATTCAAATGCTGAAAGCGGATCCGCCCTGTTGATATTTCATGCACTCATGCTACTAGCACAAACTCCCTCCTCATCCCCCTCTACCTTCTCCATCTTCTCCAATGTCACCTTCACCAGCAAATGCGCCAAAATCACGCATAGAAGGGAATTGCTCAGAATCCTCAGCATTGCCAAACACGAGGGCATCGTTATCAACTGACAGGGAATACGCTTCGTCGTCTCCCGCTTCCTCTTCAAAATCATCTTCGAATTCGCCGTTGATAGCTTCTTCATCCTAATGGTTAAGCACAATTAGCCATGAATTGGTTCAACCTATAGGACTAATTTTACCGTGACTCGACGGTGAGGCTTTACACTTCGTTTTCAATGATTTTTCGTCAATTTCGGGCTATAAGCCTCAATTAACCATCTTCCTGTTCCAGTAATTAACGAACCTCGTCCCTTCCCCCTTTCCAGGTTCAGGGTTGACACGCACCGTTTTAGCGCATTCAGTGGACATGGTAAGAAGTTTTTTGTCTGTTTGGGCGTGTCATATAATTGGACATTTCTGACACATCGAACAAGTGTCTACGCCATTTGGTGGATGAATGACTATTGGGGGAGGGGGGAAATACAAACATTGAAAGATATGCCCGAGGGACATAAATTCACCGGTGCCCCCAATCCCATAATGTTTATACTAAGAGAGCAATAGGAAACGCAAAATGATGGCCACACAAGCGTGATTGACGTCCAACCAGAGGCAAGACCATGAGGGGTAAAGAGCACCTTAAAATCTCCACAAAAAATTATTGACTAACATATGAAAAGAATGCAGAAAAATTAACCAGTAAATGTAGAAGGTAGAAAAGAGAAATGGATTTGAGCAAAGTTAGGGAACAAAAAGAATTATTTTGACGATCTTAAGTGAAAATACTGAAACAATTGCCAACAGCTAGCAGACACTTTACCGGGGTTAAAGAAATAATAATCAGTTCAAACCAACCTCCTCAACTTGTGGTTCCACATCCATATCCCCCTCATGGAAGAGGCTCTCGTTATCATCATATCCCCTCAAATAAAGTCCTGCCAGTTTCCTCTTCCCTACCTGTCCTGTGGGTATTTTTCCTTTACCCATGGGACTCTTCTGTACAAAAGTTGCTTCAGTTTTCATCTTCTTTGGAGGCACGGCTTTCTTCACTTTCGCTGTTGCTGGCATAGTCATCATCTTCTTTCCCATCGGATGAGTGATGATTGGTGCACGCGTACTCTTCACAAATTGGGTCGGAGTGGGTTGCAATTCACTTGGGTCCATGAGTGCACGAATGCGGTGAAGCCGATGATCTACCGCTTCCTTCAATCGAGTCAATGCATCCTCCTCTTCTGTCAGTTGACGCACCTTGATCACCTTTTTGATGGCTCCACCGAAGCTTCGAACCACATGGTAGCGCACTGACTTATTGCGATTACAATCAGGAATTCCATCACCATTTGCATCTGGATCCAAATAGTCTGGAATACCTGAAAGATGAAGGATGAAGCAAGTAGATGTCATATGAGTCGAGAAGTCGTACCATCATTGTCATCATCGTCGTCGATATGATTAAGGAGACCATCCCAATCAGAGTCCTGCGTTCGATCGATCTTGCCATCGTTGTCCATATCATCGTCTTCTTCATCCGGAATTCCATCGCAATCCTTGTCACCTGGATCACCCAAATCAGCTGCCATCGTGTTTGCTTCGTGTTGTGCTTGTTGAGCTAGAGAAAAATAAAAGATACTGAGGACCCGGCGTAGTTAAAGAAAAACCACTGTTATCAAAAGATACTGCATCTAGAGGTCAGTGATATACCTATCCATAATATTTTGGAAAAAAAGGTGCTTTTTCACTTCGAAAATCGACATTTCAACTGGTAGAGTTTGTCACAAAAAATAATAAACCTTCAGCCAGGATACACAGCTGAAGTGAGGTCACATGAGGTAATTGTGGGTCACAACACTCAGAGGCATCAATTGAAACTAACCCGTCATAGCCTCGAGATTTTTGGGTTTATACATCAGGAAGGCCATGTGGTCGGGATCCAGGTGGTCAGGGATGCCATCATTGTCGTCATCATCATCCAAATGGTCTGGAATTCCATCACCGTCAGAATCTCTAGGTTGACAGTCGGGTATGCCATCACCGTTCGAGTCCTCGTCTTCAGAGTCTAGAGGAAATAAAACAAGTCGATGTTAAACGAAGGTTTGGTGTAGTATAAATTTATTCTGGGCTAAAAAGACATCCACATGAATCCCCAAATTTCACGACTCACATTCCTTTTGATTTACTTTCCATTTACTCACAGAAAAAATATCAAAAGCCCGGAATGACTCACCAGGGATGCCATCATTGTCATCGTCATCATCCCATTCGTTGAGGATTCCGTCATTATCACTATCCTAAAGGCGCATACGAATAGTACTAATTAATTCGCCTCGACTATAGAGTCACTTCATTTCCACCACTAAGACCCATATTCACCTGTTTATTGTCAAAGTACCCATCATTATCATCGTCAGGATCAATGATATCTGGAATACCATCGCAGTCGTGATCCTGTAGGTGGTCAGGAATGCCATCGTCGTTCATATCATCATCAATAGCATCTGGGAATCCGTCGCCATCGGAGTCAATCCCAAGGCCCCTAACTCCATCACTGTCAAGATGATCGGGGATTCCATCATTGTCATCGTCACGGTCGAGAATATCCGGAATTCCGTCCTAAAATCAATTAAAAGACCGTAGAGTATTTTCCATCCCATTTAGTTAGAAGTCCGTCCTTTCAATGGCTGGTGGCCTAGAGGGCTACGGCTAAAACGCAGAGACGACCATGAGACCATTCTTCGATCTTCAAGTACTCCATTTGGCTTTCTAATCAACTATCAACCGATGAACAAACCTGACATCAGTACTGAGCTTCCACATACAACTTGCAGTGACTTGGCACTTTGTTTACTTGTGAGTTCGACTCTGAGGGCTCCTCAGTCCCGCTAAATTGTACCTCTACTAGGCGACAAAGCCTATAGTTTCTCAAACCTTCGGTAATTTAAAAGTAAATGCTCTCCCAAACTGTCTCGGCTTGTTACAACTCGGGGAAGTACAGTCGAGTTACATGATGGTGAAAGAAAAAAATTACAGTACCCGATGAATTTTAAACGAACCAATTTAATATATAGTTAACGATCTGACAAAGCTGGAACTCGATAGATATTATCTGAGAATTATAATAAATTGACATTTTGTTGAATCGCTGTGGTTATTTTGGCCTTGACAAATTGAACTTCCACTCCACGTTTTCAGTTCTGGGCCACCCTAATAACCTCCCAGGTTTTCATTATGCCAGCAATGCATCAACTTCCACACTCCCCCAGTTTATCAAGATTTCGAGGAAAATGCAAAGCACTACAGAAATGGCTCATTTTACTGCACAGAAAAATGAAACAAATCCAGAATGAATGAAGTGCTTGTAGAAGTTAAACAGACTTACATTGTCACTGTCACGGAAGAAGTTGAAGAATTTGTGATTTGGATCTTTGAGATCTGGGATACCATCGTTGTCATCGTCGGTATCAATGTGATCAGGAATTCCATCCCCATCAGAATCCTAAAGTCCACAAAATACTACTTAAATCCCAGTCAACGGCGCTGCGTTTAACTTTCTCCATTCCCCTCGTACACTAAAATCCCTGGAATGCCAATACGCTCCACTTTCGCACACCCCATGAAATAACCGATGAGCTCTTCCAGATCATTTCTGATATTACCGAAAAAAAAGTATTTGCTTTTTTCAGCGAGGTAGCCAAGAAGCAAATAAATAAATCCGTGCTTTTCCCCTCCTTGCCACGAGAAATAGGTAAGTACAGAAATCCTCGTTAAATATTTTGCTTTTTAAAGAGCCACTATTAAAATCTGCAAACCTTTTTTAACAAGACAGAAGTAGGATGAAAAGCTCAACAATGTAGTCTCTGGGTATGCAGAAAAGGACCAACCCAACACATCTTTGATTGGGCCCCAGTTTTATTTCTCAACTGTCTATTCTCCTTTGAGCGCAATCGTATGACAGTCTATCACTAAGGCAAAAAAGGTAATAAATAATGCTTGAGGTCAGGAAAAACATTATTAGAGGAGTACGAAGAGGAAGAATGAGACTGTATCTATCTTTTCACAGCTCAGTTTTGTCCTCATCCCTTTCAAAGAAGAGAAAGAAGCCCTTTCTACGCACCTTCCAGGCGTACTGTACCTAGTAGACGGAATAATCTCAACCACAATTGCTGTTTAACATTCAGCATAGAACCAAACATATGCATGCACAAAATAAGCAGGGTTGGGGGAACGAAGTGCCACACGCCTTAGAAGCCTGTGGTGGATGAATTGTTCGGTGAGAATTAACGAGATGTTGGCACACTCATTAGTTAAACGATTTCTCTTCACAAGGAATCGGTTTTGTAGTAGCCTTCAAAACCTACGGTCATCAACCATTACTCAGCTGCTTCTTCGACTTCTACCCCTTCCTTGCCATCCGACTTTCCATCATTATGCGTGCTAATCATGACTGAACGAAATCAGTGAGTGATAGGGACTAAGGATTACGACTGATCAAAAATAGATCTTCCTAAATGCAATGTACTGTCTAGACCATTTCTACTCGTTCAGTTCTGCACCCTCTCTCAAACGTTCTGCGCAGTAGCTTAGATGAAGAGCTCCCCGAGCCTCGCTGAGAGGGTAAATTCGAATTAAGAGGAAAGTGGTAGATCATAAGAAAACTGGCATATAAATCTAAAGGTTAGAACTAAGTGGCTTTGGCAAAATATACCAAAGAACTGAATGGCATTTTCCACAACAAGACAGAAAAAAATACCTGAATAACGCAGTCTGGAATACCGTCCCCGTTTGCATCCAAATCTTCAATATCGGGAATTCCATCATTGTCATCATCGTCGTCGTATTCATTGAGGATGCCATCACGGTCACTGTCCTGGAAAATTTAATGCATTCAAGGGAGGCAAATCCTTCAAACCTTGCATCACTCAGCAGCATTTAGATATTTAGGGAAATACGTTTGTTTGTATAGGGCCATCAACTCGCTAATTTTGACCATCGGTTTATTCTGTGTGTGTGTGTGCGTGTGTGTGTGTGTGTGAACGCCGACCTGACATTCAGATTAAATGTTATGCGAATGAAATGGAATTCCGCTGCCTCCTTGAATGACCTTCCCTTTTTTCGTCTATGCAACAGTAAAAAACCTGATTCTCGAAGGACTCGAAAAATCTGATACGGTGGAAAATCGTACTCCCCAACTCTGGTAAATAAGTTGTTAGGCAGTTTATGAATAACAAATAAAAAAATATATACATACTTGCCACTCTATTTCCCTACTGATTGCTCCACAATTTGATTTTACACGTCGCACAGTAATTCCCTTCTTTTGCAGGGAAAAAAAGTAAGCAAACTGTATCACGTCGCAATTCTAACCCGAAATTGATTGCTTAGTAGTGCAAAATACTACCAAGAAGAATTAAAAGTATTACGCTTCGCTGAATTGCACTACTTGCCCTCCACATCCGAATGATAACTTGAAAGTCCACCAAAACTAAAATGCAAATTACTAAACCACTGGCCTAACTACGTATCTAAGTGAAGCTCGCAGTTCGGGTCACGGGAAGCACGAGGCAATTGCCCAGACCAGGTCACAAACGACCTGTCAACAAGCTCATTTGACACGCTCCCTTTTCTACCAACTATTTGACAGGAAAGGTTACCCACTTAAACGCCACTCGAGAGCTTAAATAAAACGGGATTTTGGAGTCCATCAAGTTCGTCAAAAAAAGTATCTTGACGGAACCTATTAAGAAAATGTGTATGATGAAAGCAAAGCTGTGTATACTACGCGGTCTCTGGGATCGCCACGTTCCTGCCGCCACACACGCAGACTCTAAGTCAATCTTATCGAATACTGATGACTTGAGGCATTACAGTGACAGATATGGATGGGGGAGTAGGTTTCATAGCCACACGTTACCGTGGTAGTGCTCCACTGATAAAGGTTGAGGCAGTTACTTATATCGCGGATTGAAGACACCTTAACTAAAAGCGACTGAAATAACAGACTCGCTCTCTCCCCTTGTAGCGACTCCTAGCCAGATGTAGTCCACCTTATGAAGAAACCTGATACGCATCTTATTACGTCTTCGTGGACGACTTTCATTCCTAATTTTACCTAGGAAAAGAAGCTGTGTCGCAGTAATTAAATCGAGCATAATTTTCATTTCTGTCCCACAAAACTTCTGCAGATAAACATTTGACGTGTGGTAGCTCCGCAATGCCGGTATTTAGCCATAGGGAGACTTCACGAAGCACCAAGATGTCATAAAAAATACCTACCAATCATTGTTCGAAAGGAAATGACCTCAATTTCGAATTGGTTAACATTACGTCGGGGGTAATTAAAGGCATTTTCAGAGAAAAAAATTTTAGTCGTTTTTGCCCACCTGTTTCTTGTCGAAATATCCATCGTTGTCATCGTCTGGATCTAGGTGATCGGGAATCCCATCGCAGTCACGATCACTCCAACCAACAGCAGCCATCATCTTGTTCAATCGCACCACATCGTCTAAAGTTCTTACTATAAAGGAAAAACCATCTTGAGGTGGTACTTAAATTGACGTTAAATTACCCACTTTTTAGGCTTGAACATGGAATCCATGCGATTTTTTGGCTACGAATCATCAATGCATTGGGTTGAATTCACAAAAAGAAAAAAATAGAGGGAAGTAGGGAGGCAGGAGGCCAAAATTAGTCAATCGCTTTAAGTTTGTTAACAAAGAGAATTGGAGGGGGCATGCTGATTGGTTGAACACGAGTAGGTGTATTGGACCTCACAGCTCACAGTTCTAGACGAGGGTCTTCGAAAGACACATTCATACGTGGCAAAAGTTTTCGTTCATGATTAAAAACCAGCAAAAAGATGACGAAAAGATGATAGACATCGAGGTGAGACGTGCCACATTCCATGAGAAATGTAAAAGTTCTTCGAAACTTCACCCAGGAGAATTAGCACTGATGAAGGAAAACCGTAAAAAGCTATTCACAGATAGGAGGATTTAAAAGTATCCCTGCCATGAAGAGTACGAAGAGAAGAAAAGAACCAGACAGCAACGTGATAAGCGATTACTGTAAAGTAAAGAATTTGGCATCTATGACTGCAAAAGATTGGCATGGCCTAGGTCAGTATTTGTCGCTTCTTCATTCAAATTAAGTATGCGTTTTGCAATGTTGGGATGTGCAAATGCATTCAAACGACTTTTCCTATTTTTTTTATTTAAACGATAAAAAGGCACACACATTTTAGCGAACCGAAAGTTAAAGTGGGTTGAACAGGTGAAACCTATTTTTGTAACAAACATGGATGAAGTTTGAACGGAAACTATGTGGGAACAGACCCAATCCAAGGGGTGAACTTGAACCACCCAATCAAAAAGAGCGACAGAGAGGGGATACATTACGGATGTTTTGCATATTGAGGGGACAATGCGCCCACGGTAAAAGCGATTAAAAGAATGTACACACAATCGACCCTGTCATTCGCTTTGAATGTAGTGGCCTGAATAATAACATATTACATGCTCTAAGTAGGATAGGCGCCAAATTGAGGCAGGAATTCGGGAATCGTCTTTGGTGAAACAAAAAAAATCCTACTGCTTTAAGTTTCGAGTTATCGGGGCGAAAAGCAGTTGTAATGGTCAAATTGATAAAATGAGAACATTATCAGAAAAAGTAAATTGAGTTTAGGATGCACATCGCTCCGTCAAGTGAATTTTTTTACTAGCATTGATTAACATTTATAAGTTTGAAGATGGACAAAGAAAAATTGAACTACTTTTCCTAGACGATGAAAAGAGCATCAGTTTCGATGGTCTTTTACTATCTTTTTTTCAAAATAATGGTAAAATCAAAGCGACACCAAATCCTAGGAATAAAAGTAGAAGCAGTATTCTGATGATTGACACAAATCAACTCCTTTCCAAAATCGACAAGTTTTACTTATGGACTATAGGAAGAGCTTTCTCCTCTACGCCCTCCCCCCCCCCCCATAAGTTAACCATTCTCATCTCCTTGATGATGGCATGGAGCCGGTGATACGCAGTTTCCGCCAGAAGCTACCTTCTATTTTGCATCTAAGATGGCATTGGAAGCCATGTGCACGTGGCACGCGGATGCAGCGGCAGTAATTAGCCCGTACGCACACGTACGCGCACACACAGGGGGACACACTGCGCTAATTGGCCGTTAGCCAGGGGAGCAAAAAATCGATAGGGACCAGGGCCACACCAACTGACCAATGGGAGAGGTGCACAGGGAAAACAAAATAACTGATGTTTTGCGTGATCTGATGTAGCGCGTTCAATACGGTGGCGTCGACGACAACGCCGACAAAGTGGTCAAGTGGAATTGGCCAAATTTACTACCTCGTGATGCCACAGGAGAGAGGAAAGGTAGCACCTTAGAGTTCTGCATGCTTCAATAGATGGCTAAAATTGACTACTTTAAATCAAAATTATGGAGCACTTTTTGAGGGGGGACTTTTTTTCGAATTTTGGAAGATAAATAAAGGTGACTGGGTGAAGCCGTATGTTCATGCTCCAAGTGGTAGAATACCCGAACTTATTGCTTAGAGGCAGGCTGAAGTGATAACACCGCGTTTTTGAAAGCCCAGAGGTACCCCATATTCCTTTTTCAATTCTTCATAATCGGAGTTGGTTTGAGGAATTGTAAATTTTTGATGAGACGATAGCTCCGAGAAAAATCCTATACGATTTATTAGTGTAAGTAACCATTCTGATGCTCGACACCCCACCTTATCCAGCATGTCAAGAGAGGTTTTAACGTTGAAGATTCCAGTTTTCAGATTGGTGGAGCTCTAGCTACTACGACAACCTTATCATCTTTGGGTACAGGGAATTTGCAAGGAACAAAAAAACGGAGCACGATTCATTTTTATGCACACACGGGGAGTTGACAGGTCAAAAAACAGCACTCGACTAATTAAAATAGATAAAGTAATTTAATAGGGCTAGCTTAATTCATCGATAGCTGATAATGGTATCCAAACTCTGATTTGCTTATGCAGAAATTCACAACTTGACCAAATAAAAATAGACATTTGCGAATATTCACACAGAGAACGTGCAATGAATTTTAGCCTTTAGTGAGGAAAAGTTGTCGCACTAGTTTAAATAGTTCACCAATCGTTAGGACAAAGTAGCGCACAGACAATAGTCACGTCCATGCAGTGGAAAGCCAAAGCTAAAGATCGTGTCTGCGTGGACTTCTGGAACATGCATACTCTTTCGACGATTACAAAAGACCACAACAACTTCTCAAGGAAATCGTTAGTCGAGTCATGCTTCTAAGATGCCTAGCTTGACATTTAGACGCAGAGACAGAGAGAAAGACAGACAGCCAGACATGGGTATAACTTACTGCACGTCTTTCCGTGTTCACATTTCAAATCTGTAAAAGTGTGAACCATTGCAGGCATGTGTGAATGTATGAGTGGATGGGCGAGTGGATGCGTGATGGAATGGACAAATAATGTAAATCGCTAAGTTTAATAAGCATCAAGGATGATTCTTGAGAGGAGATAACTATAGGGGATTTGCATGCAGGGTAAAAGAGAACATACATTCGTCGATGACGGGTTCGAGGAAATCGGGAATCTGATCGCCATTTCTGTCCTCCAGCATATCGGGGATTCCGTTGTTGTCGTCATCCAGATCTACGTCGTCTGGAATACCATCCATGTCGGTGTCTAGGACCTTCTTTTTGTTTCCGTAGCGCAACTTCAACTTGTGATCCGTGGTGTCGAGACGGCAGTCGGGGATTCCATCGCCGTTGGCATCTTCATCTTCCTTGTCAGGAATTCCTGTTGTGGAAAGGATTAAAGACTACAAATCATCTGGTTCCCAGGAAGATTAATAACTAAAACTGCATTTCTGGAGCTGGATAATGCCAAACCAGCCAAATGGGTACATGAAGGTATCAGTGAATTTCGGATATTCCACCATCGTAAAACAGTGTCAACAATGACAGGATTGCTGAGTGATTTGAAGTGAGCCAGACCTCCTAGAGTTCCAACGCGTTTAATATGCAAAATCCAAAACAGCCCCTTGTTAAACGTCCCCACTTGTAAAGTTTTGATGTTTCTCCCCAATTTTATGTCATTTATTCGAAATCTTAAAAATTACATAATCCAAAAAGGCAGTTATTCAGTTGCAGAGCATTTGTGACAGACTTAATTTTACTCCCTCTTTATTGGCTTAATACAAGCTCAAGATTTCATCAAAAGATTTAAGCTTTTCTATTAACTATACCTACTTCATACAAATAACAGTAAAAAAGGCTTAGAGACAGAAAAACTTTCCGAGTAAATAAAATATTTAATGAATTAGTCCAGACCCACCATCGTTGTCATCATCATCGTCAATATGGTTGAGAAGACCATCCCAATCAGAGTCTTGCGTTCGATCCAGCAGTCCGTCATTATCAACATCATCATCTTGGTCGTCAGGAATCCCATCGCAGTCGTGATCCTCGTAAGTAGGCACCCATTTCCTGCTACTATTTTTGTCCACCAGTGGATTAACTTTCACTTGCTTGTGCGCCACAGGCACTGGAGACCGTTTCAGATGAACTGGATTTAATTTCTGCGGCTTCCTCACTTCCGGTTTTCTGGGCTTAGGTGTTGATTTCGTAGGAAACTTTGGTTTGGGAGTAGACGGTGCGGCATTTGCAGGTTGTTTTTGAGTCGATTTTGGTGGGATTTTTTTCTTCACTTCAAGTAAATTCCTCTCGCCCACTGTTACAACGTAGGAGGGATTACGATTAGAATTTTAAAGACGTATAACGTGGATAAGAGTTACCATAAAACACTAAAGCAAAAGAACTCACATCTAAAATCGCCTTCTTCGCTTTCCTTCTAAAAATAATTGCAACCCAATAAACACAGAGTTCTTGTCATCATACCATAGCACGGAAAACAACCTTAACCATAGAAATCCAACTAAAATTGAGCTGGCTCTTGGATAAAAACGTCACAAGATGCATCCACCAAATTGAAGAAATTGTGTTTAGCAGTACCAAAAATATTTACAGCAATTGAAGCCCAAACTTACGTCAAATTCATTGCTGCCCAAAGGTACGTCAACATCATCCAGACTAACAAAATACCATATTTTTAGAAGTATCTCACTTACATTAAACCCTGAGGATAGTGAGGTTCACATGAAACATTAGAAAGGAGGACGTCTAAAGCAATAATGGAAGAGACCAAAACGTACACAGAGATAAAAAAACCAAAGAAAGAAAAAACCCGCCGCGCATAGTGGAGCCCACTCTTTAGGCAACTGGACCCAGTCGAAAGGCGGCGACTAATAAGAAACTGAAATATTGAGGTCGATTTATCATTGAACTCGATAAACTTAAACAAAGACCTATAAAGCCTAAAAGCAAAAAACAAAGCAAAGCTGATTTACGTTTATCATTGTTAATTCTAATACGTTTTATTGAACAAAGTTAAACGTGGTGCAAAAAATCATTTTTAGCCCATTGATATAGCAAATTTGAAAGGAAAATGGAGATCGTTTTAAAAATTCTTGCAGTCTACAAAAATTTAGCTCTGCCTTTTATTGTCAAAAAAACATGGAAATACACATTAAGCTTTGAAATGGCTTAGTTGAGTTATCAGCTCTATTTTTGACAGTCTGTCGAATTCGTTTCTAATTACCGTCCATTTGATAAAACGGCGAGTCTTACACTCATGCATTAACTTGTTTAACGGAATTTGCTTTTGTAAAGTCAGTTATATGGCGTCGGCTTGACCATTTATATTAATCCTTCCATTTTCTTCCGTGCTCTTTCAACTTCGCTGATATTTTGATGATTTTATAATGCCACATTATGAGCGAATGCGCTGCATTTAGTAATTTTAGCCAATGTCGTACGAAGCGCTTTTTTAAATTGACCACTTCCTACCACTAGAGTTATGTGTACTTGGTCACCGTTTTGAAGACGAGAGGATGCATAATGTTAGTGTAATACGATAGTGGTTTATCCCTCGGTTCTGGTGAGGCGCCACTTTTGTACTTCGAATTAGCCCCCTTGTACCTCGCTGGGTGGGCTGGCCTTTTGGGCCATGCCAATAGCCCAGACACCTTCTCCATGCTGAATATATATATTCTGCCCGAGTATTTTGTCTTCTTTCGTCTTCAGGGAGTCTCGGGACGCTACATTAGTGTAGCGTCCCAAGACTCCCTAGAGACGAACGAAGACAAAATACTTGGGCAGAATACATATTCAGCGCAGAGAAGGTGTCTGGGCTATTGCATGGCCTGAAAGGCCAGGGCTAATTCAAAGTACACAAATGGCGCCCCACTAATACCGAGGGAAAAACCACTATTGTATTGCATTAGAGTAAAATACACATGTAATGCTCTGGGTGGTTACTTCTCGGCTTTGGTAAATAGGTCACCATGGTTGACCGCCATTGGGCCTTGCCTAATGGGCTGGCCTTGGAGTCCCTTCTGTATGTCGGGTATACGTAAAACCAACTAACGAATTTCATTTGTGTATTCCTTTATTCTAGAGACTAATTTTATGCTGAGTGGAAGCATAAATTTGGGTCCTTAAACAAAAGACCTTCACAGAAATAAGTGACTCCTGGAACATTACTAATTCCTGTATAAACGCAGAGCCCGAAAGTTCGGTCTAGATATTCAATTTTAATCTAATTCCCGATGATTCTGAATTTCGAAAATAGAACATGTGGGAGTTCCATTTTAACACCGTTCGTCAAAGTGGCGGAAGAAGCAACGGCATTAATTTTTCTTTGTCACCTGGTAACACATTTGCAGACTAGATATGAAAAGTTGGGATAAATTGACTCACCCTCTACAGAATTTTACCAATCGTCACAATGATACGAGGTGGGATCGCAGTCGAGTTTACATGTGCAGTTTTCTAAGTGGCATCGAGGCAGAAGTCCTCAACCCTAACTTCGACCACTATGTCGGGTGATTTGCATAAACAAGAGCCTCAACTGCGCAGCAAGAACGCTTGATCCACCATACCTCCCTGGTGTGGCAAGATGACTCGACGTGACAGCGGTGTATCATCCTCAAGAAGTTCTATGATTTATGGGTGATAATGATAATGAAATGCAAGGAGGATTTTCGGAATGAAACAAAATTTGAATGTCCGTGCGCGCAGTGAAGTAACTTAGACACTTTGAAAGGTATCAGGCAACCACTGGTGAAGCGAAGCAAATAATAGGAGAAGGCCTCCTAAACAGGCACCACTACGATCTGAAACTCCTTTTCAATGCCGCATGAGCACACAAATTTTGGTTTTACGTCGTGATCGCTCTAGAAGGGAAAAAAATTGACCCGCTCTTTTGTGATTCAGCTGTTGCGTGTCATGGATGGGTGGGTCGGAGTGGGAATGGCTGGTAAGGCAGCCAGTTATTCAACCAGCAAAACATAAACTACAAACGTAGGTGGAAGAAATGTAATGTTAACACTTTTGAAAGGCTGACTAATCCTGGAGCCTCTTGAAGGAAGCTATTCTCGCACACCTCCAAGGCAATATCGCAGGAGAAATGGGTGATTTCCCCTCACCCGGGAAACAATTTTGGCTTCATTCTATTACTAGATCTGCATTTAAATATGCGAAACAAAGATAGTTTGGTTAGAATCAAGCTGACTCTCAAGGTCCTAACACCTTAGTTGCTAAAGAGGGGGATAAATTAGGAATCGTCTTGAATGTAATGTATCAACCTTTCGATTGCCACCAGATCTGATGTAATTAAACTATGTCTGCCACATCTCCCCTTACTGCGTAACAAATCAAATGAGGAAATTTTACAGTCTTGGCGCCGAATCAGTCCTATTCCACAAGATAATCCAGCTGGAATTACATCCATTTCATTCCACTGACAATGGATGAGTACGGGTTCAGATTGAGTGGAAAAGGGGAAGCGATCACGTTGACGGATTGACACCTAACTACCCATGTTTCATACTTTTTATACCTGTTATTTAAAACCGAGTAAATTTCTTGAATTTCTTCCCAAGAAGTTTCGACAGAGCATTACAATGAGGTAGACTCAAAGCGGTACGAACCACCTCCTCACACTAAAACGTCTGATAAAGCGATTTGACGGCCTTGGCATTAAAGAATCTCTATCGGGTGATACTCGTAGGGGTCACTCCGCTTTCAGAAGCAGCTAGGGCCGCTTATGCAGTCGGAGGAGCTCACACTTCATGCTGCAGACAACAAAAAAGCCGATTTGGGATGCGGGGATAAATGATACTGCCACATGCTCAACTATACCCTCTGTATCCCACTGATGAGCGTTCGCCAAGCTCCGAATGGGGACGATCGCATGGTCGCATGCCAAATAGAGCAGACAGGTGGTGCGATCATGACAAGTTGTGCATAAATGAACATTTAAAAAGATTTAACGCTAATTTATGCGTCATCCAAGTAACTCTCGACAAAAAATCAACCGCTTTTAAACACTTTAAACAGGCTTCTTGTAGTGTCGATCTAATCCCCTCTCTAAACTAGGGAGAATAATCATGTTTGAACAGGAAAAACAAACAGAAATACACGTAAAGCTTAATCTGAGGTTGTAAATGGTGAAGGGGAAATGGAAACCACAACTGAGTAGAACGAGTGCATAAACAACAATAAGAGGAAAATGAATTCCTTTCCAAATAAACTCGCGTTTTCTCAAAAAATGACGGAGGCCAAAGTCTCGAAGAGGCGGGAAGCCGTTCCACCGTGGCTTTCCTAGCCTTCGTTGAAGCGGTAATAAGCTGCACAATGAAATCCTGTCACCTCAAAGCGTTGGAAGCATGGAAGTTGCTATCCCCTACTTCGGCAAGGTGAATTCTGAGGAAGTAGTTCCGTTGAAGGTATACAATTATCAAGGAGAAGTACCTGAGAATGCAATGGTCGTCAAAGTGAAACCGAAATCCTTCAACACAAGAGGGTAGTCATGCATACGAGAACAGCGGAGTGGGCTAATGAAAACACAACTGGCTGTCAAGTTAGTCAAAAGTGAAGTGAAGAGTAGGAAGTGCACCGCCAAAGCGGGTCAACTACCTCCAAACGCAAATTCCACATATCCAACCCGTTTAGAAATCCCAAATGATTTCCACAACATTCACCTATCAACAAAACTCACATAAAACCATCTATTTCAACAAATGTGAGAGACGGAGAAGAAGCAACACGAATGGAAGGCAGAGAAAACAGACGCAAACAGGAGGGAGGAGAGAATTAATAAATGCCAGAGAATGAAGTGGGTGAATGAAGCCAAAACTGATTGTCAAGAGAGAAAAGGAGTCAGTCAAAAAAAGGGGGGAAGGGGATGAGGGGAAACAATCACTTCTTCTTTTTCATGGTAGCAGATGCGGCGCCGGATAGATTACCCTGTTTCGCCTGCTCCGCTAGCTGTTTGCGTCGCTCAAAAGCGGCCATCTCCTCGGAAAGAATGCGCCGTTTCTCTTCCAACTTCTTTCTCTCCTCTGCATGTTGCTTCTTTATCGCCTCAAACTTCGCTTGCAGCTGCAAGTCAGGAAGGAAGCAGTATTTGCAATGCATACGAGAGGTCTCCAAATCAAACCTGAGATGTCACAGAAGTATCGCACACAGTGGCAAATGCTGCAGGACTCAGACGGTTCAAAGCAGAACAACACATGGGAAGTTCATCTTTCTCGAAAATTGGATCAATACAGGAAAAAAATTGCCACGAGACCTACGAGGTAGTCTTTTTAACTAAACAATCAGTTACCGAAAAACACCTCAGCGACATGCCACCGATTGTCGGTACAGGGTTTAGTATGCAGGTACGCCTGTCACAGCGTCTAGAATAGGATTGAAGGAGCCCTTTCAAGTGTCAAAGCCTAAACAGCCTGAAGTATGACGACACTTCGATTCAGTCTGAGAATTAAGGCAGTTTTCAGGTGAGCGTTGTGTACCAGTCAAATCAACTTGGTCGGCCTCCCAACAGCCAACACTTCACGACAGTTCCGTAACGTACTGTCAGCCTGCTATTACACCTATGCGCTCCCTACCGTGCTGATGACCTCAACCGCGCACCGCCGGAGTCACGGGAGGGGTGAGGAGGGGAGAAGGAACAGCTGCTAGCGTCTTACAAGGGGTTCTGTTGACTAATGAAACAACTGCAAATGATTTCATCTAAAGCCATCGATCACCATCAGAGGCGTTAATGGAACAGAGGCTTCGCCCGGTCAACGCAGCAATGGTCCCAAGACCATAAAACATCTCCAAAGAGCGAACCTCAGGGCCTTCAACAAGATATCGAACAGACGCTGACATAAACACTACTGATTATCAGCAAAGGGATTGTTAAAGAAATCAGGCAAAGGGGATAATCGGTGGCAGAAGCAGAAACGACACCCGAACGAGGCTTCTGAACCAAATGCGTTTGCCGCACCCTAGGAAACCAGCAGCCCAACACATTTCTTCACTGACGTGCAAAATATAGAGTTCTTACTAGAAAACGGCTCCACCTGCAGGTTCCGCTCCACAGACTACTAAGGGGGAATGACCCTGAATGACCCATCCTATGAATCTAAACGTTGTCTCGGTAGAGGAGGGTGCGGAGTGGAAGGATTGCAAGTCGGCTGTGGGAAAGGCGTTGCTGCCTTTTGGGGGACTGCTGGAGATGTCAATGCACCATAGAAAAGTTTGCTTCGATGCCCTCGTATTTCTCATTTACACATAGGATATCCAAGGCAGGCGGATGTTTCAAAACTCACATTCAGACAGACCTCAAATTTACCAAGCCCAATCAAAATGCCACAAATGTCCAATGTAGCCTTCCCGATTTATTCGAACTTTTTGGCAAAAGAAACACCTCCGCACTGAGATCTCCCCTTGATTATTCTGTCAGGAACTTGACGGCCCCATGGTCGTGGACAACTGTTCAGGAAAAGGTTCACTTCCCACATTTTGGCGTACACTGGGTGTCGTGACTAGGAAGCCGGCTGTCCTCCCCCATTCCGCAACCCGCTGGGATGGGTGCGTGAATGTGCCAGAGGAGTACAATGAAAGGCCGCCACTGTTTCCACTACCTAGAGTGCGTTCCATGTCCCAAGTTTCAAAAGCCTAATTTGACTTAAAGGGTTTCCGTTGGCTCAAACTTGGTAAATACGCAGTGTTCACCAACATTAACGTTTCTTAAGCACGTACTGGCATTACTGAGTTATTAAAGCTTCGAAAACTAGGTGCATTCGATTAAATCGTGATCCGTGATATTATTCACTGCTATTTCCAAACGATCAAAGCACCTTTTGGTCGCTTGAACTCTGCCTTCAACCGGATTTTGAGCTACCAGGTGGCCGAAAAAGACGGCGTGGATTTCGATACAGCTCATTCCGATGACTCGCGGCAAATTGCAGATCATATGGAATCGGTTATTTATATGTACTGCAAAGTGTAGACACGAGTGGTGAAACAATTCATTTATACACCTAAATCTCCTAGGGTAGAGGGAAGCCGTGAAAGCTACTAAACACATGGGTGCTGCATGATGTACACTAACGGATGGCAATAGATTTCCAGCCCGTCCTTCGCTTCTTAAACACACTACAAAAGTAGATCATGCATGAGGCATACCTTAGCATTTAAATGATGCGTGAATAAACGCATCACTTACCATATCCGCGGATGAATCACTCACAACCATCCACACACACCTCTAGGCATGCAAGAATTTATACCCACAAAACTGTACTGCGCCTCTCTCTGTGTGTGTGTAAACTGGAAACGGAATTGTTCGCTTAATGAAGGCCAAACAACAATAACTTCTAAGATCTAACGACCTACTCAGCAGGATCAAGTTTAAAAGCGCGCAGCAAAATACCGTTAGGGACAGTTAGAAATTATGAATGGGTCAGAAGAAAGTCCTATTCTTAAATGTAATCCAAATCTCACACCACCCAAGGGGTTGGAAAGGACGCCACTTAATACTCAACCTCTGTGTTCTCCTGGTGGCACTTCCACACACTCCAAGTGATTTCTGTCCCGTCTTGGTAGTCACAGTGAACAGTACCAATGAGGAAGGAGACCGTGGATACAGATGATGACTAAGACAACTTTGTTGCTCTTGGGGAACAAAAATGTTTTACAAGTATCTTACTTCCGACTATTTCTGAATATATTTTTCCCGCACATCTTCGAGTTTTGTCCACCAGACAAACCTCTGCTGCAATTGGTCGCCCTTAAACAAAACAAGGCGGTAAACAACTCCATCTGCAATACCCCCAGCAGTAGTATGCTCCCTCGATTAACAAGTTATCCTCACTACAAAAAGTCCAAACTGCATGATACCTTTTTGGAATGTACGTGAAAGAAGTGAGGAACAAACTGATGACCCTCGAGGCTTACCGTCATCTGCTAATTCATGACAAGGGGAATACATCTGACAAGACACTTTCATGATTCTTCCTCCCCGGTGGATTGAAGGTTCTTATCACGTTAATCATGAATTATTTTAGCCGACAGCAAAATGCAATTCTGCAGAGAGAATTCAGACGGCTACATTGGTAACAGCATAATAAAATTTGGGATAGATGTAGTGGACTTCTTAAATGCTCAAATGAAAGAATGAAGTTGACTACAGATGAGTGAACCTGCAGAGATGGATGTTGAAGGGGACCCCAAGGTCAGGAGAGAAGCAAAACTCAGACCCAACAAGTAGGGACTGCTTAAAACAGAATAACTCGGGAGATATTTCAAGTACGGAAAAAACGGAACACTGACCGCATTAAAGCTTCCAAGATTCACCAACACATTTGAATTTGGAAGTCTCCTCACCCTGGCGGAAAATCAATCGCAAATGCTCAATTCCTGTCCTGCAAACAGATTTATTTCACGGGATCAAACTCTGAAAAAAACGCCAGCGGTAGCTTTGAAGCAAAGCAAACTATGCGAACCCATTCAGTTTCCCGTGATGGGGCCCTCACATTGGCGCCGTGAAACTGCGTCAGCCCTCACCATACGGTTAATCTCCTAGCCCCTCGGACGTCACAGCCGAGCTACCTGAATACTTGCCTTTGGAGGGGTAACCTAAACTTTGCCTTGGTGGCAGCGCGACAGGACGTCTGACGCCTTTTATCCATTGGAAAAAAAGCAAAGGGCAACCTTCAGTAACGTCTCAAAGAAGACTTGCATCAACACCACTTGAATAAATCCTTTTCTGGCACTAGTAAACCGACTCCCTCACTCGAACTACAGTACTACTAAACAGCACTGGCTAGCCACCAGTGATGTAGCTCACCTCGCGTTCAGTCTCCTTGAGAACTTGTTCCTTCTCTTTCACACGCTGGACAAACATTTGACGCATCTCCTCCTCCTTCTGCTTCAACTCCTTCTGCTGCGTCTCGCGGCGCTTCTCGTACGTCTCCTGCAAAGCACGAAATGTGAGGGAACAGGTGACACGGTTAATAAAAGTTGCACCTTTTTCCAGAAATCTTGTTGGCGGGAATGAGATAAATGACCCTCTGATAACACTCATGCAACCAAACGATAGTTTTGAGTAAATAAGACATTATCTGCACAGGTTCGGGGAAGAAGTGCGTCTCAGTTGAAAGATCAGCAAAAAAAGTTTTAGCGAAAGGAAGAAAAGGGTGTTCAACCAAAAGCATACAAAAAACAGTAACTTTGTGCGGCGACTGATTCAACTTAACTATTCACGTTACAAAGAGTTTGCAAATGTTATAACCAAATCGAATAATGGTGGGTTGCACGGACCTCTTTTTCCAAGAATAGAGGAGCTGCCTGAATGTGATGCACCTCTCTCTGGGTAATCCCCTTTTAAACTTTTTAAACACTCCTACCACATCTTCCCCAAACACTAGACATAATTTGATAAGGAGGCATGTATAAATTTGAGCCTTGAACTAAACAAGCCAAAATTACACCCAACCGGATCGACCGACAATTTATGAGAGCACAATAGTAGGTACCACAATGACGAACTGACACGTCATAAAAAATGCCTTCTACACGTTTCCACCAGTTTGGTATCGTGGAACACACAGGCCCGAGCGCACTGGAATGGTGCCATAGTAGTAGAGACCATTAATAAATTTAAAGCCACCTTCTTGACAGAAAAAATGATAACTTTAAGACAAAATAAGTAATCATATCAACCAGTTTCCATTTCTACACGGTCTTATATCACATCCTGTATGCCGAAAGCATACTTTGTTCCATATCTCAAAGCACAAACAATTTTCACTGGGTTCAGAAGATTAAGAAGTCCAATTAATCAAGTGTTACAATCGTGATTTCATTGAAAAACCCCTTTAGGGTGTCCCTAAACGTACTTTACGTGATTACCGAATACGCCAAATAGGAAGCCAAATGCATCCACTCATCTGCCACATAATTAAATCCTTAGTAATGCGACTAGATCTGAAAGGGCACCAGCTCTCTTAAGCCAAACCAAAGATTTAGAAGAAGAAGAAGAAGAAGAAGAAGAAGAAACAAGGAGACAGAGGTCTACCTGCAGAGATATCTTCTCATCATCCCTAAATCCCATCTCCGAGAGACGTCGCTTTCGATACGTCTCGTAGTGCACCGTGTGCGTTCGCTCACGCAAGTCTTCCATGTTTACCCGCAATAACATCTCACGTAAACGCACAAAATCGCAATGCGCCTCGTTCTCTACTTGCACACAGCCCCAGGGGTACTGACGTACACGAAGGGTACGTCCATTCACCTTGGCCTCCTCGGTACTGCCTACCACTGCAAAAGGCAGCATCTTCTGTAAAAGGGAAACAAGTGAAGAAAGTAAGGCAAGAACACCGCGATTAAGAAGAATGCATCATTTTTCCACAGTGCAGGCCTCCACACCTACGAGAAACTCAATTCTCGCTCATCAGCGAACATTTTGACTAAACGCCGCAACCATTTGGTTAAAACACATATCAAATGCTCCTCAGTTGGATACTATTCAAAGATTTTCAATTTCAATAAGGCAGAGGCTCCAAGAAGTTAGAGGACATCGACCGTTGAGCCTTTTGCTGCTAACCATCAGTATCAGGGCATTCAAACACGATTTACTGGCAGAGAAGAGGGCGACATCTTCAACCAGAGAGAGGGGCACGCCAGATAGCCCAAACATTACACTATTGACAAAATGTTGTTCCAAGTATTATCGAGATCAACATTGTTAACACGAGGAAAAAGCGTTTATTGAAGAGGTCAAAAAAGGCAGCAATGTTTCAAAATGTTCTTATATTTGCCCATTTCATCACTAATGTCATTACAAAAGAAAACAACACTTCCAGTAAAGTGGCAAGATGGAGCAAGCAGGCGAGCAAAAACGGTGCTCCAAAACTGGCAGGCGCAAGTCTTTTAACCCCTCTTCCCAGTCTATGACCACTTTCGCCACTGTTGGGCCTTGTCAGTACCTGATTCCTTATCATTGCATTCAGGTCCAACAAACTATCGTCTTTAATAAAAATCGATACAAAAGGAGGAACAAAATACAGCCAACTGGTCAAGTTCATCTTTATTTGGCGGTACTTTGGGTTCGAAAAGAAATGATATGAAAAGAATAAGTAGGAGACACACATTTTGGGCTGAAGTAAGTAAGTTTCACTCTATTTTTCAGACAACGACTGATCCTGATGTAACACTTCTCTTGCACAATCGCCACCTTTAACGGGTACATAACTAATTTGGGAAATAGCAGGACTTTTGATAAGGAAATGCGCAGAGAGACTTGGGATTAAAAACGCAATCAAAGTCGGTTTATTGTAATAAATAACCCCGAGAACAGGGGAAATATTGTCCGTATCCAAGTCACAAGCGGAAGCCACTCTCCCCTATTAATTGTACGCGCATAAACACAGCGAATGCCACCACCACTGCTACCACGAAAAGGAATGCTCACTGCAAGGAATAGGTTGAACAGAACAAAGGGCACCGGTTAAGCGGCTTCATTTATCCCCATGCTCATGATTATTTTCCTCACGACGAGTATTTAGCATATACGGCCTCAATTGCTCATTTGATAACCAAATTTGCAGCATGTTTTCGTGTAGAAGCGCACGAATAAAACGCTCGGCCTATCCAAACTATGAATAAGTAATGCAATGAGGAGAACAAATTCTATACACACATCCCACACAAACTAGCCTCAAATGATAGTGAGTACTAAAAAAGCACCACTATTGCATCAACATCCATACAAACGAACGAAAAGCATGAATCTGTGTTGAATAGTGCAAGACAATGATGATGCCTTCAAAAGATCTAGCTTAAGAGTCCTACAAAATCAGAAACTCTCACCAACACCTAATTTGACAAGCTAAAAGCTAACGTTCGGAGAATTCCATTTTGCACGCACCTTTCACCACATAAGCCAGCATTTAAAAAACCCCACCGGTCAATCAGCCTCAAACTTATCTTACCAAAAAAACTATACTTGTGGCACTTAGTGGCGACACTCGAAGCTTTCCGACTCTCCAAACTAGTCGCCAGTGTGCTAATCCTTTCCTCTCGCACAATGTTTCTACCTCCAAAGGCATACTTCGCCAATAAGGAGCAGTTTTGTGCCTCCCACAACATATCACTAGCAACAGCAACAGCTTACATTTGTGCTCTCGTTCAGTTCGCTCACCATCTCATCATCGGTTGGAAATTGATACAGACGAATGCCATTTGCCTTCACCTCCGACATCACCTTCGCCTTAAACTTCGACAGCTCTGCCTTTGTGATGGTGTCCGACTTGGCGATGATCGGGATTATATTCACCTTCTCCTGCAACTTCTTCATTGCCACTAGATCCACTGACTTTAGGCTAATTTTATTTTCCCAACCATCTCACAAACTTCTTACCTGTGTCCAGTTGGAGCAATGAAGTACAGACAAACGTGAACTCGTGTATCATGATAAGTGTGCATTGAACGCTTGATTTTCAGCTCCTCCTGCAAGTAACTCTCGTACTGCTGATCCAAAAACTCCACAACGCTGTCAGCACTATAAATGATTACATATTACATCAAACTACCACGCAAAGACAAACAAACCTGTTCTCCTTATTGATTTGATCACCAAAACCACAGGTTTCACTGACAGTCAGCTTCAGCCTTACATTTCCTTCTTTTAGGTCTTCATATCACTAAATAACAAACCCAAGACATAAACTCACCGTATGTCTTCGACTTCAACTTGACGTCTGTTGAATCATGGGAGGAGGGCGTAAAATCAAACTTCTGATTAAAAAGGGTTTCGATGAGAGTAGACTTTCCCAATCCAGTCTCGCCTATTGCTATCAGCAAATTCTGCACTAACTTACCAACACATAGAATATTAAATACGAAGCCTTCGCTAATAGACTTGTCGACAATCTGGTCAGGTAGACTGACGAAACCCACATGCCCATTCAGCGTGAGTGTTCTACAGTCGGGATTCTACACAAGTGCGGAAAGCCAAATATTGTCATACCTTCTTCTTTAGAGCATCCACAGTCATTTTGCCAGTCTCTTTGTTACGCTAAGACCAACACCCAACTGAATTAGTCTAAGGTCACGGGGAACAGCAGCAACAACATCACAATCTCTACCATGCTCCTAGTTAATTTGAAGCAGATGTTCTAAGGTCTGGCCTATTTATAATGATGCAACTCTAATCGAATTTTTACCAATTTTTGCGTAGTGTCACCTTTAATAACTTCTAAATGCAACAAAAACCATAAATGAATCAATCAAACCAATTATCCAAGTCACAAATATTTGCTTCGAAATAAACTCACAGCCTGCAAATAATGCCTAATTCAATGAATTTTTCTTACAACTTTACGTTGCTTTTTTTATCTTATAGTTAAGTATTATCAAATGGTTTAAAAATCTATGCAGTGCCAGGCGTCTTCGCTGGAGTCATTATAAAGTAGGTGGTGTCTAATGGTACATATTATTAATATAAATGTACATTGTGATGATAGTAATACGGCCAGAAGTCTAGTCGATGGGCGGGACTTCTGCAATGTTTCGGCAAATTTTAGCTCCTCGTGTTAAATACGCAATCATTAAAGGCTCTACCTTTATTCAGACCCTACGTAGCATAGCCCCCGGTCAAAGCCAGCAGTCTCCAACCTTTTTTGATGTCAGCATTACACATTCTGCACTGGTGCTATTACTTCTTTCGCCTTCAGGAAAATTATGGACTATGCACTAAAATCAACTCTGATTTTTTTGACTGGACAACAAACTCACGGTTGCATTAAATATTAAATTACCGCCTTATTTGAGTATGTTGAAAAATTGCAAGTGGCGTTCATCCTATTAGACGGTAGTGGTTGGGAGAAAGAATGCTTTTCATAATACAAAACTTAGCATGCTTAGGTTCGACCAGATAGCCATGCCCCGTTGAACAGAGCACTTCATAAAGCAACAAATTTCATCACAAACTCTACTCCCTTTCCAATTTCAGCAAATAGCCAGGTCCAGGAATATCAGTCGACATATTTTCATTTGGTCCGAAAAGCATGTGATGCAAACTATTATGACGTACTTTGGAAATTCTATTACAATGCAGGACAGAAATTCCTATATTTCCTGCTCCCTAAGAGAGGACAAAGCTCCACAATGAGAGCATTGCCTATATCAGTGACTGCCTATAGGAACACTGTTTATACATTGTCACTCTGTTTCTGTCTACCTGGTTTGCTTATAGTCGAACACGTGAAGAAAGTGATGTTCCTCCTAGTGATTGGCCTAAAGGCCCACCTACAATGTCCAACCAAATATGAAATAAATGCCTATGTACCCCATTGGAGACCTCCTACAAATCATCCAGTGTTTACCACCTACTGAATGATAGATTCCTTCACCAATCAACGTCAACTATTTACATTCTACCGCCTTTTAAGTTCTGACCGTCACATTCACGTTACATGTCACCAATGATCATGGTTGCGGACAAAGTCAGAGATCTGCTCTACACAATCTTCTGTTTCGCCTTGGTCTTCTTCATCGCCTGGCCAGTGGCATTTTCACTCGCAGCTATCTACGTATTGTTCGTTCCATTTGCCGCCTGGATTCCTCCCTTAGAGATGCGTCTGGATGACATTTTAGGCGCCCTGAAATTGCCACTCACCTGGACCAAAAGGGCCATCCGTAAGGAAACACGCTATAATTAACCGTATGCTATCACCCCTCCACTTACAGTAACACATTCCAAGAGTAGTTTTTTAATAAATAAGGTAAATTTGTGATTCCGCTGCATTTACCTGCTCCTTCTTTGGCTTCTTTCCCTTCAACTTTCCTTACGAAATGAGGATCGATCCAAGGTAATAAGGTCACATTTGTGATGACCATCTATAGTTCTCTGATGCAATATCACATGTATACACTGCACTTCAATTATCACCACAAATCAAAAACAGGAGCAAGCAGAAGAGACATTGAATGGTAAGAGTTACAGAAAAACAGCGCAACTTGGCTCACAGCATCAAAACATCCTCAAAGAAAGTATCCCTTGATTGGTCTTGCACGCCAACATTTTAAAACCACTTTTTTTAATCCATCCACTTCCAACTTCCCTCGCCTTTTAATGGAGCTGCCATGCTTACGTGGATCAAACATCACTTTTCTAACATTTTTCTGTTTTGCCTCTCTACACGCAGATTCGTAGTCTTGAATCCCAAAGACTCATCAGTAATTCGAAAATTGTCCAACGAACTGGCAGTAGGACCGGTAGGGACAACTGTGATGCCCTTCTTTGGATAAAAAACACCTTTCTTTTTGTGCACGAGTTAGGTCAGTTGTGGATTTTGACAGGGTGATTTCATGAAGATGTAAGATTGGACTTTCGTCTAATGTCACTTCAAAACGTGGGTTGTAATGCAACCAGTTCGTAATGACCACGTGTTTTATGGCCTTGATCCGAGTAAAGGGGGCGAAAAGATGCAAATCACATGACCTCGTGGTGACCTCCATCCATCCAGTTGATCGGTTCCACCTCGCTGCAACGTTTTAGTTTGCAAACCCAATTAACCAGTTGGTGGTTTGTTGGTACTTTGGGCCCTAGTCCTATGAAATCAGATGAGTTGATGCACCTCGTGAGTGCGTGTGAAAGATAGAAGGGTAGACAGATAGACAGATTGACTCCGATTAATCATTTACTGTCCCCTCCCCATCAGACAGTCTGACAGTGAGTGCAGTTTCATGAAACGTGTTGACTCCACAAGACAAACTATGATCTGCTTTTAGCTGCCCCTGCTCATATCTCACCTGTTGGCCAACGGAACCGTCTAGTCAGCTTGGCATGGAATTGTCGGGTGCAAAGGCGTCAGAAATCATGAAGCGACAATCCTGGCTTGGAGTCCAGAGCAATGTCACCAGAGAAATATGGAGAACGAAGTAGTGCAAGGAAGGATTCCCTTCGCTGCCTCTCAAAAGTTCAGTTAATGGTCTTCATACGACTTTTTATTTCGTCGTGCTGCTGCCGCCAAGTACGCCATTTTTCTCCCACATATTCCAACACCATCCCTAATTTGTGCCTACAAGTGAGTAAATTACATTGAATCATTCCGTATCGCAAAGAGGCTGAGCTTAAGGCGGTCTCTTACCTCCGTCCTACCTACAGTGTAAGTCTTTTCGCGGTTAGTCATGGCAGTATTTGAAAGGGGGAGAGGTGAGCAGTCTGAGTTCGTTCCACCCACTGTCTAGTCTTAGCCTCTTCTGAGTCCAAAGCCTACTCTTTTGTCCCTTACAACAGTGCAAAAGTAGCCGTCTTATCTGGGCGAAGGGCCCTATGCTCAAAAATTGTGTTGCGCTTCCTACAGCCAAAGCCACTCTCCTTCGTTTGATGCCTTTAGCTCAAAAGTCATTTCTTTTCACACGTCAGTCGGTGGAACAAGTAATCACAGTCAATTAATCAAGTCACCACACACTCCACTTTCTCCTTCTACAAGTGCGTTCGTCAGCATTGCTAGCTTGACTGCCAACTTCAACTCAGGGTAGAGGGCAAACCAGCTGAAATCGCCTCCCACCAACTTCAACTAACATTAAATGGACGCGGGTGCACAATCTCCACCTCATATAAACAACCTCCATTTTGTAGTCCTCCGTAAATAACAAAGTTTCATCTCTCATGAGGTGCGTCGTAAGTCGTACGAATAAGCTGGTCACCAGGACACTGTACGGCCTGTCCGAGGGTAGTATTAACACCATACGAAGATATATCTCCAATAAACAACAAAAAACAGGAACGCTACCTACCATCCAACTAGTCATTTGCGTAGGCGATGGACTAGATCCAAGTTAAAGCGGATAAAGATCAGCGAAAGCCGCTATCTCCTACTAACCCAGCTTAAGTGTTGTTGACGCATATGACAGTGGTGCACCAACTCGCCCAGTCTTCAGGACCACTTTCTCGATATGCGTCCACACCTAGACAAGCCGTCAAATGGAAAACTTTTGCCTGGAATTTGAATGATCAACAAGTTGTGCGCATTCCTAGATCATAATGATTGGTGGACAAGGCTACTTTAAACATTATTACAGAAAAAGCTGATGAATTTCATTTGATCACCAACAAGAAGAGGCAGTTACTTCAGGTTACTACACATATCTTCGCATTGTCATCCCACTTACTATTAATTCAGCATTTCACAAGTGAGGAACTTAATCAGCAAGTAGTAATAAACAACCTAAAAACAAGTAAACACTAGTTACTGTAAGGTTACTACTCGCACTTGCGGGTTTAGACACATGAGTAGAGCAGATGGATGGGAGGAAGAGATCATGTATTGTGATGATGTGGAATTTCACATAAGACCGGTTTTATTGGCAGACTATGGCACTGTCTTCTCCTTTTCTGTGGGAATTTTTCACGTCTCCTCTGTCACAAGTTCAGGCCATTTCTATCCTCTTGCAAACTAAAAAGTACGATCAGCCATGCATTACATTTGCCATCCAGAAACTTAAGCTTGTAACAAAGGAGACAAACTCTGGCGCCACATAACCCCGAAATCAAATGCACCCTTTTTAAAGTACCATTTTCAACGCGGTAATTACCAACTAATCTACCTTTTTTTAAGCGTATGATGGCAAAGTTGAAAGGGTGAGGAGGAAATCTCAACCTACCATAATATTGGCAGAACGGGCGAACCTTCAAATTTTCAAAAAGGCACGGACCTCAGAATTTCGTTTCCATTCCAAAGTTTAGTGGCTGGTTCTATCCCAATCATCAGGAAACACTTCAGAACCTATTTTTGGCAACAGCAGAGGCAGCAATAACTCCACAAACCCAATTAAAAGGATGTTGTATCACCTTACCTCAACTCGTCACCATCCAGGAAGAACCAAAACTAGCCAGAAATCTTCCATTACAACCAAATAAAGGGATAAAACGAAGACCATGTAAAGAATTTACATCGGCTGGTAAGAGGCACCTTTCGCGTATCTTCTCCATCCAGGGTCGCGGAATGGATAACTGTCCACTTTGGACACTGAGTTAGCTTGCACACCATGTTCGAAATGTCCTTTTTCGAGCTGAATATGTTGCAACGAAGAGGTATTAGGGGTTGGATACGAATTTACCGCAGCTGGCTGGATAATGAGTCATTGTTTCCATCATTTGCCCCTGCCCTCATAACCTTGTAACGAACAGATGGGCCAGATGGAACATCATACCACGGTGATGTACAATTGGAGTTTGGGGTAAGTGCCTTTTAGGAGAGGGTTCGTTTCTCATTGCCACCAGAATAGGGTGTAAGTCTTTACTGAAGTCAAAAGAGGGCATAATACGGGAGTCGAATATGTATTGTTTACGAACAGAAGGGCTGGAGGCCGCTGGTTTGGTCCAGAGGTTATGCTGCCCTGCAGAAATACAACAGCGATGCCTTAACTGTCCACGCAATCAAGGAGAAGAACTAAAAGGCGAATTAAAGTACAACCTTTAAGCATAAGCAAAGTACACAAATGAATGAGGCTAAATTGCATGCACAGGTTCACTCATCCTCCATGCACTGCGCCTACCATCTCGGCTTCTTCGAGGTCACCAGAAGTGCTCAACGCAAGGCACACGTGTGTTCATTCATCCATTCCCACACATCTCGTCTTGGCCGTAGTGGGCACTTTGTCGACCCTTTACATCACAGTGACGTTTTCGGATGAGAATGCAGGCTCCTTTACCAGCCACAAATTCCAAACCTTCGTAAATAGTGCAAGCTCATCAATTGTGGGATGATAAGCATAGATTTTCCTCTTCGACATCTAGATAAAGATTAGGAGGTGTGTAGAGGTACATCAATTGATCGCAGCAGCCAAGTTTCCACTTTTACTGAATACAGTGACCTCTGGAAAGGGTGGAAAGGCCATCCAATAGAAGCGGATTTACAAAGAGTAGGGGTAAATCTTGCCACCATCAACCTCCTTCCAGTATGGCCGAGGCTGTGATCAACTATGCATACACTGGTAGACTTATAATCTCTGAAGAGGATGTTATACACATAATCTCGGCTCCGTAAGGATCGTCAACTGGTGTGTGGAGTTTCTGAAAACAAGGCATGGAAAGCTGTTCTGAGAGCTAAAGACTCACTGACTAAAGAATCTCTGGACGATGTGCCAGAAGAAGGATCAGTAGCCAATGCGACGCCAAATCATGCATTGATGGAACTTGGCACTCCCTGATGGCAGAACATTTTTGAAACATACGTTTGCGACTTGAGGTACGGATGCAGACAAAAATTTGGGTATTTTGAGCTGAACTTGCCTCGTTTGCGGATGACACGCAATCTCTGGCTGGGGAAGAAGTCCGCATTCCCATCCGTATACTCCACTGTCTCCGTCAGTCCCCAAGCAATTGTGATGCTATAGTGTGACGCTGTGCATTTTAAGGTGAACAGGAGATGGGCGGAATTGAATGAACAAACACATGCGTCGTGGGTTAGGAGGCCCTCAGGCGACCTTGAAGAAGCGGAGAGAGTGGATGCAATGTGTGGAATACGAGTTAGCCTGTGCAAATTGCTCGGCATCAATTATTTGTCTGCTTTGCTTGTGTTTGGGGGTAGTACTTTGATTAGCGTTTTACTAATTCCCCCCTATTAAGTGGTCAATTAAGGCTTCGCCATTGTATTTCTGCAGGGCTGCATGGACTCTGGGTCATGGCAGTAGCTTATACCCCCACCGTGCGTGAACAGTTTATACACAGCTTTCCTCTTAATTTTTTTTAGACTTCATCACTGGTACCGGCGAAAATCACACCGCACCCTTACGGAGACCAACCTTGATGGAGGAAGAGCATATGCTGCAGATGGGAGAATCGGCGATGACCCTTGATAGAATGATTGGAAATGACCCTTAGCAAATGCTGCTGTTCTGTGCTCTGCAGGAATGAAGCGACACTAACCGTGGACGTGAACTACCGTAATAAGTTCATGACGCAGCTGTCCACGGTACCTATATGAAGACGTTTGTTAGGAGTACCCACGACACGCGCATAAATAATGTGAATGAGCGCTTAATGACGTTCCTTTGTGGAATCACATTTCTTAACACCGATTCAGTGAAATTTCGCTGATGAAAATTTTCAACTCTCTGCCCATTACCCATCCCAAAAGCTTCTCATGCGGTTTCGCGGGAAGCATTTGAGTGTAAAGGCCTATCAATTCGGTTCTTTTTACTATGAATAAGTCGTTTTCTCGTCGAATCGGACAAATCGACTTGCAGTTTATGTGGTCTCCAAAAAATTGCATAAAGTTCTATATATCTTGCTCATTATCTGGATCGGTTTTCAATGTATTTTTTGCCTGACCAGAAGACAGCAAAATTCATATTTTACATGAATTTAACAGATAATGGACGTATTTAGCTGAGAAAAAAATGATTATTTGTAATAAATCCCTCTTTTTCTGAGGTATAATGAATTATGTACTAGTCTGGACTAACACCGGCCTCCCATTCGCATAACACACGTCTGCGCTAGCTGAGCCGAAGCTTTCTACCCGTCAATACTTGTAAATGAATTGCCAGTCTACTAGCACTTAGGTCCTTTGTAACGAAATTGTAGATGCAGAGCTCCTCCAAAGGGACTGGTGCACTAAAAGCCTTCCAGTTGTGGATTAAGTGTGCCCACTGAGAAAATACACATTAATTAATGTCACCCAAATGGCAGCGGAGGTGTGGTGGCTGCCTACAAAGTGGGGGAATGATGTGAGCCAAATGTCGGCGCATTTGGAGACAGTAATCACGTTGGCGGCGTCAATTCTCCAAGTAGATCTTAAGCACCAGTGGCATTTACCAATCAATTGACGTCTGATTGTCTGCGGGTAAGTTTTACCCCTTCGTGTTAGCTCCATTGAGGCAGCATTCACTACTACTAAATCACTGCGTTTTAAACACCCTCACTATGCGTATCAAAGTAAACAAATGAAATCACTACTTTGTAAATGTGTGTTTTGACCACAATAAATTCACGAGGTTATTTATTAACACACTCACGTTATTTTCTAAATGAAACTGGGACAAAGAGACGTAATTTGGCTGAAGACCACTGTGCAAGATCATCACACCTACCATTTGTTTCACTCTCAAATGCCAGCGGATGCGTGGGTGTGTTCAACCGATGAAGCATTCGCAATAATTCCATGAGATCCCTGCGGGTTCATTCCATGTCATTTCTGCTCGCCAATCTCGGACTCACAAAAGAGCCTGGTAAACACAGCCGCTGACATGGATCATGTGGTGGAAAAATTCGTTAAGGAAATGAACTATCTTGGCTTAATTTATCTTTGCAAAGCAGACATTTTATCCATGTTTCATAAGGAATCAACAAAATTATAGGGATCCTTCTTTAACCACCCAGGGAACCAATGTGCTCTAATACCTTGGCTATTTGTTCAACTTTTCGCTTTGGCCCATGCCAGTGACACCTGACCCCTCTACATGTCAGCAATACATATTCTGTCCTAGCATTATGGCACCGAAAAGCTTACTTGATTGTAAAAGTCAACAACTCTGAATTCCATTTCTGATTACTCAATCTTAATGTGACATATGAAGGGCACGTAAGGAGAACGCGAGAATCTGTGACGGCTTCTAACAGAAGGGTTGTGGAAGATGTCTGCCTTCGTGATCTGCAGGACCTGCATCAGCCATAGACCATCTGAGAATGTTAGTTAAGAGGCTGTCTGCTGCACCCGTAGAAGATACCAATGAATAGAATGGTGTGGTGGCGGTTTTTAGGGAAAATCCAAGCTGCCAAATGCTTCAAGCCATTCCCCTTTTTTAACAGCTTTAAACTTGCCTCCTCTATTAATTAAGCTCCACAGCATACCTGAGTCGAAGTTAACTTCTCTAAACATTTCCTTGACTGCCAATCTTCCATCTGGTTTCGTACACGTGTATGCAAAGGGAATTTTAGTAGTGAGCATTCTGTATTTCGCAATAGTCATATTTTACCATTACTTGTCATACCTACCCTCCTGCATTCCCCTGTAGACCGATGATTTCATTCTACCCCACATCTTTCTAGAAAGCCATGTAACAGCCATCAGACAGGCTTGAGTTGGTAAGAAACCTCCTAAATGGCAAATATGTTGCAGGAAGCCATTCAGCTTCAGGAGGCAAGGCATCTATTGTGCTTGCATGGTGTGCGGTGTGTGGTGGAGGGAAGCCTGTGCTTTTGCCAAATACATCACAAGGTGTCGGCACATGATAGTACGTATCCTATGGTAAGTGCAAAAATGCAATTTTGCCTGTGGAAAATGCAGCAGAACATGCATCGAAGAATGACTTTCCTACTACTACTACCGAGTAAGTAGTAGCAGTAGTGGAAGTAGCAGTAGGAGCTAACTGGGCATTTGGAGGCATTCATGTCCACTGATGCGTAGTGCACGGTTGCAGGGAGACAGTATGCTACAACATCATCACAATTACGACTTGCTTCAAAGGAGACTTCGCGTTTCAGAGAATATTGGCAAATTGAGATAAATGGCAAAGCTATTCATGATTTTTGAATGCAAATCGCTTTCTCCAACATCGGTATGTTTTCTTCTTCGGCCAAGTCAAGAATTTGCGATTAGAAGTAAAACGCCCAGTTTTTGTGCTTTAGGACTGGATTTGCTTTCCATGGACGTAATACTGGGAGAGGGCATATATTGTTTAGGTGCGAAAGGGCTAGAGAGGCTACTGGCACTTGCTTTTAGTAGTACTTATGTAGGCTGTTCTAGCTGACACGATGATACTGACAGAATGCAGCAGGTGTGCACCATGAAGTTAGTCGGTCAGACGATCAGTGGGTTGGTAGTCTTGCAATTTGAATTACTGTACTATCTGCTCTTTGATTGTTACCAGAATTCACAGAGACATCACCACCTCTTTAGTCGCAACTTGTACTTGGAATTGATGATGGATAAAAGATGAGATTGTTCATTTTATTTTAGTAATAAGATTGTGCCAATAAATTAGTTCTGCTGCAGACATCCCGACTCTACTATTTATATTATACACGAATGTTTGGCCTGCCCATTCTAAGTGCCATATCACGCATGTGGAACTATAGCAAAAAGGTCGTTCCTCATGGAGCCACTGGAGACGCCCACATGGAACCCAAGGGCATGGCAACGTGTGTGTATAAGTGACAGGAGGTGTGGGAGAGAAATTGTGATCTCCACACTTGCGTGGTACATCCTAGACCCCATCACGGCTGTGTTAGTGATGCCTCAGTTACAGTGTGAGGCCTTGGTTATTAGTGGTAATTATCAGTAGATTGACGTCTACTTTTCAGAGGGTGAATATTACACCTCAGTTTGGCCTTCATTTAGGCACCAATAATCCCTCTTTCTTCATCTCATTTGCAACACTTACTTTGCGTTCTGAGGTGATAGGATGGTGTCGGTATTTTCCGTACTAATGGACGGTTGGAGTGAATTCACGTCGTGCCGCGGACATTAACCAACATGCTCCTGTCATATTCCAAATGGAATGGGTGTAGAAAACATCAACATCTACTAGTGTATACTTCGGAATTAGGACTGTGCCTCCCAATTATTGTTTCTCCTGCGAGCATCGTTGCATTCGTACGAACTCATGATGCTCGTCAATATTTGACACTATCTTGCTATTTAGTCGTATCCGTGGTAATAAACACATTTTTTGTCTTTTTCTTATTTTGAATTAAATAGATTTCATCTTTTTTTGCATGGAGGACAAACCCCGAGGGATCGAGCATAGCTGCTACTTACGCATTCCTGCTTTCTCCGAGTTGATTTCTTTGTCTTGCCATACTTCCCGCGTTGGGTTTACGTATTGTGTCTTAGTCGTTTCTTCTTGCATACATCCTGCTTGCGCTGTGGATCTGTTCATTAAGCAAGCTTCACCAGAAGTGAAATGAGTTTAAATACAGTAATGCAATTTGCGAATGTAGGGGTAAGGAAGTTCATTACAACATCATTAATATCCTCAACGTTTCAACATTTCCAAAGCTGCTGGATTGCAAAGTGCAAGATAACCCTTAAGAATGCCTAAAATTCACTGAACGATGTATATTATAACAAAGGGAATTAAACACCGCACGCTGCACAATTGCACTAAAAGGAACCATCTTCAGTTGTTTTTAGAAAAGCAAACAAACATGTCGGCTTTAGTCATTTCCATTTACTAACCTCAATGAACTCAGATGTCATTGACGAAATATTACTTGAATCAAGTAGAAAGGAGACTCGCCTCAGAGAACTGCCCTTTTTTGATACTAACGACACAGCAGCAGATTCTCATTAAAAACTGACGTCAGTAGTAGAGGACGAAGGAAAATGCATGCCTTGGGGGATCAGGGAGGAAATGAGGAGCTCTACCTCAAGGGTTGAAATCAATGCAAACACGAGAACGGATATTTGTGGATCAAGCCCACAAGTTTATGTGGAATGAAATGCTGAAAGTCACGTAAGCTATCACCTCAAATACAAAAATGCGACTATATTGTCAAATTAGGTCGGCTTGTCCACAGGATGCCCTAGTTTTCGTCACGTTTAGCTTTCTAGTCACAGTGACTGCCGATGAAAGAGACCACATTGGATGGCAAGTAATTTACGGCAGAAAGCATTTGGAAACAGGTTAAAACGAGGCTTAAAGACCCACCTCTGTTGCACGATAAGATGGTTCACTATTGTGTTCGGTACACACATCGGTGACAGGTTATTGTAATGGCAGCGCAGGACAAATACTGCACCTTAGTGAAATGTATCTGTAATATGAGGAATTACTTTGCACACTTCTACCAGCTGTGCCATGGAATTTACAGGCCTGTTGGATCCATTGCAACTAGCTAAAAAGCCAAATTTGACCAACCATTACTGGAACTGCAGACACGCCCGTCTAAAACTGGCTCATTCCTCTGACTTTGGTTCAGACACCTGCATTTATCATACAAATTTGAGTTAATATGTTGTCATGGTTTCAAAAAATTGCGCCTCATTTGCTTTATGAGGTAAAAATGCTTTTTCCGTCTGCCAATGCCTTAGCACTTTTCCGAAATCTCTAAGCATTATATATTTGTTAGATGTGAAGCAACCGCCATTTTTTTTGATTACAAAAGTCGACAAGGCAAATTCTATTGCAAAATATACTTCTGCAGTAGATTTGCAATTCATTCTAAATGTTAAATTTATAAGTCATCGCGCCAATACATAACAAAGACTTGCAAAAATGACAGTTATAACTGCAAAGTACAATTTGCATATCCCCCAGTGGAATAAAACCCTCATGTTAGGTAGAGATTTTTCAAACTAGAGGCAATTCGGTACAAATGAGAAATGGAAAGAAATATTCTTATAATCGCAGGCATGTTAACTTTCGTCCAGCTATACACTTGTGACTAGAAGTTTGGGATATCGCAAATTGTCCACCCGAAATAGAGGCTTCCATGTAAAATTGGCCAGTGAGTTTTCCTACAAATTTCACAGTATTCATAACTTTTCAATCATTAATTCCCACTTAGAAATGAAATATTTACCCCTTTTGTGGACAAACACTCGTACGCATCGCCCCCAACATAGTTGGACGCTACAAAATAATTGAAAATATTTAGGTTAGTACACTGAGTGCCTTACTCCTCTAAAGTGTTGGAACGAAAAACCCATCCAACATTATCAACCTGTTGTTGAATGTGACAAGCGATGTAAAAATCGGGAACAGCTTATCAACTCCATGAAGGCGAGTCCACCGAGCTGTGGGTTGTTCAATTGATGTCAGGGGGAGACATTCAATGGTGATATGCAGTTTACCAGATTGCCCTCCAGCAACCACCACGCATCCATTAAAGTAGGCAATTCCTGGTCTGGAGCGTCCCTCTAACATCGGGTTCAGCTCAATCCATCGCCATCTACTCTCATCCAAAGGATCTTCTATCAACAATTGAGCAGAATTTAAAAGGTAATTTGAATAATAATTATGGGATCCACCAACAACCACGATTCTGATAGCTGGGATATTTACGGCCGAGCTACCATGACACGCTCTTGGCATACTGGAAGTCGAGTGAGCCTAAAATGGGCGACCAAGCTTCATCAAACATACCCACCAGTGTCGGTGTTCAATTTTTCGCAAGTAGGAATTGCAGTATTTGATCTATTAGGGAGGCCGCCAAAAATGAAGATTGATTCATTTCTCGCCGCGAAAGAGTAGCTTCTGCGATTCTCCCCTTTAAAAGGGATTTTGGAAATGGAGCCATTTTGGTAATTCACAGACCAAAGATATCTTTCGGCACCATCATGAGAGATGGCATAAATTTTGTCGAGAAGGTAGGGGAATGAAGTCACCTGTTCGATTTACCATTCAGTACAGTCCGTCCGTTATAAGGTTCCATACAGGATGGAGCTGTAACATTAAACGATAGGTCCGGTTGTAACTGCCACACAGACTTCACAATGTCAGATTTCAAAGCTTCATCCCTTCCAACGATCAAAAGAAGAAAGAATCAGCATAGTGGAGGCGTACAGAGGGTCATTAATGTTATGATAAGGTCAATTCTGCAGTGTCAGATCATAAAATTCGCAGAACTTATCGAATCGGTTATTCAGATTTGGAAAGAGTGGTCACGTTGTTAGGAGAAATGGTTTATGTACTTGAAACGTGGTGGACAGTTGGAGGAAGGGTGAGGTATCTGCTTCATGACATCGCCCTCCGACTTCATTGCAGGGTTTGGTAAGGTAGCTCCTGAGAAATCGTGGAATGGAGGTGTAAATGGTGTTTCGCAAGAAAAGTGGTAAAGAGAGTGCCATCGTTTAACTCAAGTCCCGTCTACAATCTCCATTTTAATTATTCCATTTTCCTACACCTAATCAGCATTCATGCATCCAACCATTGCATGTTCATTCATCCATCTCGCATTCATTCATCATCATTCATCCATTCGCTCATTTTTCCTCCATTCATTCAATCCGGCAGTCTGATCCGAATCCATTTATCGCATGGTCATTCATCCCTCCTCCACTTTGTGTGCCTTGCTGCATCAAACAGTCATCCAACGAAATTTCCCATCCCTTCCACTCACATCCCTCAAACTATTTACACGCTCACGTTGCTCACCTGCAGCAAGCATTCCTGAATATTTCTCCACAAATTTCCAATACTCGGTTTGACAGGGTGGAGACAGCTTATTCACGTTAAGCTTGGAAACCATCATTGCAAACGCCTTTGTCCTTTCCTCCATATCACACCCGCTGCGTCCTGCATCCCGCCATTTAGAAATCGCTTGAAATTTGGTTTCCTCACTCATGCCCTCTTGGGTTTTTTTCCTTCAGCAGGACCTCAAAATACTCTCCTGTTGTCTGCATCAGTATCTCACTTTGCAAACACAGAGCTTCAAAGTGGTTTGTCATCAACGGAACGCACAATTCCATCAATCCACGATTCGGAGCCACATTGGCTACTGACCACACTTCTGATACATTGTCTAGAGAAGTCCTTAGGACAGTCGGTTGTAACTCCCAGAAAAGCTTCACCCACCTCGTCCTTAGAAAATCCACACACCATTTGACGATGGTGTCGGAGCCGAGATTATGTGCCAGCAGATAGATTCGTGTGACATTTGCCGCAGAGATTGTGATGCTGCCTGTGTACGCGTAGTTGATGGCAGCCTCCACAATGCTGAAAGGAGGTTAACAAAAGAGAAAAAATGTGTAGGTACTCTTTAGAAAATCGTCTCCATTGGACTGCAATTTCACCTCTCTGAGATGATAATGCTTTCATCAAAAGTGGAAACGTGGCGTCTGCGATGAGTCGGTGTGCCTCCACGTAATTGCCGTCCTCTGGCTAGAAGTCGAAGCGTAATTTCCATGTCCACCAACTCACTGTAATTCGAAGATCAATTAGCTTGCCCATTTCACGTAAGAGGCAAAACTTGTGGCTCAGAGATGAGCCTTCACTCTCGTCTGAATACTGGACTGTCGCCATCGTTTGGGGAAGTAATGTGATGTAAGAGGGTGCGACGAAGTGCCTTTTATGTTTAACACAAGATACCTATAATTGGATGAGTGCCCACGAAGAAGTTGTGCGTTGTGTTGAGAGGCCATTGAGCAGACCTGAAGAGGGCGATGGGCAGGGTGTTGTGGGTGGAAGATGGGAGCACCTGAGCACGCCGATTAGCGGCAATTAATTTTGTACTTTACTTGGAGTTAAATACAATGCCTAGGTTATCATTTTAATTGTTTGTCTTGGTTACGCAGGCATTGAAGGTACTGTGAATTTTGTATGAGTCCAAACTGGTACAAGATGCCCATTCGCGCGGTCCATGCCTGCACCAGTTGTAAACGCATCTTAAGTCGGCCATCCGCTGACTGGCAATGTACAGCTTCCACTATGATTACAATTTTACGTGTCCTTAATGAGGCATTCAGTCAATCGGACAAAAGAGACTGGTCAGAGGAAGATGGCATGCATAGCGGTATTGTGGAATGTCACAGAGAGACGTATTGTCATGCTTCGCCGACAGGTTCTTCAAAGGCAGAGAGTTTGGGCATTAACATCGTTTGCTTTCCACAACTTTCGGAGAGAGGATACAGATGTATCCTGATAATGGCAGACTGCTTTACGAAGTAGCCGAGGCAAAACTTATGAAGGCACAAGGCGCTGATGCAGTGGTTTCTCCTGGTCGAAACAGATTGAAAGGCAAGAAATCCACAACTGTTAGTGGAACAAGCCTTCGCTGCAAAAGTAACTGCTGTGCTGTTAGTCACCCAGTTGAGGAATGAGTGTGCTTACCAGGAATATGTGCGGTGGCTGCCACAAAGTGAGGAAAGGACGGGAGACAGATGTCGACACAAATGGGGAGAGCAATGAAATTAGAGGTATGCAACTTCTTACGCACCAGCGGCATCAAAACTTGTTGAGAAACAAGCCAAAACCGCGGTTTTGCATAATACATCGCTAATATTCCATTAAAATTGAAACATTCCTGCTCTCTCATCCTTCCTACTGGCAGAAGAATTGAATGCACTATGTGCATGAGGACATCTGCCAATATATTCTTTACTCCTTGCTGTTAGCCTCTTTCCGACATCATACACCACTTCCACCTCAATGGGATTGCAACCTCTTTGCACATCGTGTCAAAACAGACGGTAGATTCTGGCAGTTTTCTGATTAATGGGAGATAATATTGCTTCAATTTCAGGTAAACATCTGCAATCAAATGACAGTGGGTGGGAAATTTAATTTTGTTGAGGACTACTGTGGGAGATCGCCACACCTAACACTTGTCACACACTCACATGCCAACGAATGAGTGAGTGTGCCAAACCATTGCCACATCTACAACGATGGTGTCACGAGTTGCTAGCGCCATCATTCCACCTCCTTCGTGTGTGCCAACAAGCGGTTCATGAATGAGGCTGGCAAATAGCAATGTGGCGACGTCAGCCACGATCCATGTTGAACGGTTTCTTACACACACCTGTCTGTGTTCATCAATCTCTGTGACTGCTTTGCAGCCAAGATTTTACTTGACTTCCTCTATTTCCTTGGTCAAATTAGGGCAAGCATTTCACAGTCCGAATTTAAGCTTACCCCTTGATAAGGCTATCGCGTTGCCCACATACGCAGCTACTGAATTTGTGTGCCTTTATGCCCTCACCGTATTACTTTGAACAAATAATTTTTGGTGTATACAACTTCTAGAAGCTAATATCTCTTCAGCAAGGAGAGGATGTGCCAGCGCTGTAAGTATTGTAACAGCCTCAGTGCTCCTCTCTCTTCCACTTCCACCTACATACGTTTGGGAGGGGCTAAGTGTCAAATGTGTGTATCAATTGCTGGATGGGGTTTCGTTTCGCCTCAGGGACCAACGAAGACTGCTCAGACACAAGGTCTGTACATGCTGCCAACTTCCACCTAATAGGTGCATTTAAGCAAAGCAGGCATACTGCCACTGAGGTGTAGTAAAGAATGCTTGGGGAATCATCCGCTTTGTGCGGTTCGTGTATGGGGGTGGAGGTAGCTACTGCGTTAAAGATTTCGCAATGTCATATTTTGCAATTGCTTAAACGGGTGTGGGCGGTTTTGCTCCAATCAACCTCTGCTTCCATGCACATGGAACGAGCAGTCCATTTGAATGAGGACGTGGTATTCTGATAATATGTGACATTATCTGAATTGGCACTCAGTTTTACGCTTAACCAAAGTAGGAGAAAATAAGATTGCTTAACTCTCGTGACTCCAACTTCGGGTGGACACAGTTAGTTGTGGGCAAATGCATGAATTGCGTATTGGTCTAGACAGTCACTGAACTGTCCATTTGCCCAATCCACGCCTGCTGCACTAGTTGAGGCGTTGTTTTCAACGTGACAGTAATGTTACACACAATCCACCTCTACCATCACGCCGTAAGTCACTTGTAAGCGATGTTGTGGGTGCAAGTATTCACAAAGGTGATGGATGAGCTTGAAGTCATCCACTTGAGAAGTGAGTGCGCCTACAGGGAATATGAATTTCAGTTAATGTCACCTAACCACCAGAGTGGTGAGGTGGCTGTCTACAAGGTGAGAGAACGGCGAGAGCCAAATGTGGACGCATATGGTGAGGGCACTGAAATTGGCGGTGTGCAACTCCATTGTGTAGGGTCTATGTGGCAGTGGCATTCATCAAGCGATTGCTGACTGCTCATATAGAGGCCAAATTGTAGTTCTCGGTTTGAAGTACATTAGGAAGGACATCATATGCCACCACTACTACTTCATAAGTATTGAAACCGCTGTACTCAAAGCATCAAAGCATTTGTCAAAGGTAATGGCATTTTCTTAATTGATAGAGAGTATATTGCTTTGAATGCATTAAAACATCTATCACTATGCTCATGTTGAATTTCCAGTTTATATTGTGGTACTTGACCCTTCCATGGCCTAGATTCCTGCCAGGAAGGGTCAGTGTAACGCAATCTTACCTTAAACTGACCTTGATTCTGGCCGGAGATTCTCTTTATTTGGTAGCTTGCTCTCAATTTGGCCTGGAATCCTGCCAGTGACTGAAGAATCCCTACATAGCTTCATGGTTCACACTTCATACCTTTCCCCATTTTTAAGCCTTTGTTGCAGTTTTTGGCCTCTTATGTCCTCTAATCTTCATGAACGTATGTATATCAATTTAGCTGATTTTTAACAGGTCCAAATCTGTTTTACTACACCTATTGTTAAGTTGGTCTTTCTTTGATTGAAGCAAATGCTTTTAATTTTGCAGTTCATCATGTCTTCTGACATTCGCAATCTCATTTTTTTGTAAGCAAACCTTTTTGCCAAATTCAACATGCTGAATTTTGTAGGCACTTCGCGACAAGTATTTGCAAAAAAATTTGTTAACTGCTGCCCTTGCCCTGTTTAAAAATATATTTGTTAAAAGGTAAAATATGCAGCAACTTTTAAAGAATAAAATATGACCTAATTTTGTCCCTTTTTTTCGCATTCCCTCTGTATTTTGTCCTGTTTAAATTGCCCTCTGTTAGCTGATTGGTTGCATGCTACTACTTTCCTAATCGCTTGTACTTTTTTTCTGCTGGCATTGACGCCAGAATTTTGGATAGAAAGTCTTATGTTGGTAAAAAAAGGAAGAGTTCGCAAGTTTTTTTTGGCTTCAGTTTGCGCTAACGATAACCCGGAACCCTAGGTAGGTAAGATTTTGTTTCTATTTGAGGATGCTTCTAATAGGCTCCTAGTGACATCTGAAGAGCATTGCATTTGAAATTGCGCTTTGCTGTTACCCCATTCCGTTCTTAGGTACGAATGCATTTTAATTCGTGAGTTGTTGTTATACCTTCTGGGCCTTAAACGTTTTCTTCTACATATTTTGATGCAAGTAATGTAGTATGCTGCCTGTATTCTCTTCCAGTCTGCCAAATTACAATTGTATACAGTGATACATGTATGTACATTTACGATGAATTACATAATATATGTTTTGAATTTATTTACTTTGATGATGTGTGCCTCCTGGCTGTTAGGTGTGGTTTACTGTGTATGCAGCAGATAGTAGCGATTCATCGTGTGGAAATGGCATGTGGGAGGACTGAGACTAACTGTACCTTCGTTGGCTCCGCTTCTTACTCCCTCGTTTCTCACTTCGTACATTTGTTTGTGCAAATGTTGATCAACGATGGTTTTCTGCCACTGCTGGCTGTTTGGGTGGCCTCACGCAGCAGTCTTGTTGGCAGTCTTGATTCTTGTGCTCATTCGCATTCAATCGTGCCATTGACTGAATTCATGCATTCTTGTAATGCACCATGCCACTTGTGTTCATGATTGCACTGAAAGGCGTAACTGGCGTGCTTTTGCACAGTACTTGAAGCATTATTGTTGTCCTAGCTACTGAATGGGGAAAGGCTGCGTGGCTGGTTGTAGTGAGTATGTGCGTAGTATTTCTACTGATTGCGAGTTGGGTAGGATATTACCACTGTTGCTGCTGTTGGGATCTTTAATTCAAGGTATGCTGGAGCCACTGCTGCCGATAAATGAAGCATACTGGATGTTGATTGATTGTGATACAGCAGGTTGCATCAAAACCCGCGTGACTGTCTTTATTATAAGTATATTTCTTACCCCCAAATAATTCTTCCTCTTCTTCTTCTTCCTATAATTTGTTTGATAATGTGGGCATGGTGCGCTTTTATGTTGGGCAGTTTTGTCGGTTCCCTCAGTTGATTTGATGTTTTTGGTAGAAGAGGCAGTAGGGAGTGCAGAAATGATACTCCTTTGTGTGAATCTGACCGTGTTTAGTGCTCCTCGTGTGACCCATCGAACGGTGTGCATGTAGTGTTGTCAAAAGAAGCATCTTGGCACGATTGCCTTTGAAATACTCATAAATAAATGAGGTGCCCAAGGGATAGTCGGCGTCATGACAAGTACTTTGTAGGCCATGTAAGTACTTTGCATCCCCTACTGTCTTGATGCAGTAGTCCCTGTGTCATCTCCAGCCTCTCTCCCTCCATCCCTGACTTTATTACTGTCACTAATAGCATTTGTTTTGCCGTTTGGCTGAGAGTTATTTGACGAGTTGTATTGGCAGCGATTGGTGCGGGTTTAATCTCGTTCGCATCTTCGTTTGCTTGCAAGCATTAAGTTTTACTTACCTACTTACTTACTTACACACTATTCGCCAGCGCGTTTGTTTGGCTACGTGGCTGCTAAAGGTTTAGGTGGAAATGTGGGCGGGCAGGCATGCAGAGGTTGGAAAATGTGCTTCGTTCTGGGTTTTTTATTGTCCTACCTGCCTGGCTAATTATTTCTCCGTCTGCTGACCTACCTTTTCGTCCTGCTGTCTATTTGTCTAATGCATGACCTCCCTACCCCTTTTCGACTCTCTTTTCCACTTTGACGGTGGCTTGAGCTGTGACGCTGGAATGTATGCATTCGCCGTCCTGCGCAGTGTGAGCGAGCCTGTCGGAATTGTTGCACCCTAGTCAGTGCCATCTGACTCTCTCTCCCTCTCCTCTTCGAGTGAGATGCTAAAAGTGGTGCCTCTCTTCGTCTTCCTCCTTCACCTCTCCCTCTGTGGCGAGTGTTTCTGGTGAGCATCGCCACATTTTTGATTACATAATTACTACTTATTGTGTGTAAGTAGGAGGTGGTAATGCAATACGCGCACTGGTACTCATATGACATGCTGATTTACTTTAATTGGATCACTGAGGTATGAGCACAAGCAATCAGTTCACTCACCCTCTCCCACCTTTCCTCGCTCCATTCTCCCTTGTCCACCCCTAGACGTAAGATACATTGTCTTTGAGTGCTATCACGTGCATTCTCCATGGCCTGGAGTTGCGAATACGCTAGACGGTGGGGTGGGTGGCCGAGTGCTGCCGGCGCTGACTGCCCTCAGGCGTAGGCCACAGTGTTGTCAGGCCTTCTAGCCCCTTAATTAACCAATCGACGTTAGGTAGCATTTGTGAGGTCCACCCTCACTATATACTCAATTGACGAGTCTCACATTGATAGACAAAGCCACGCGGTGGTCCCCTCCCCTCTCGCCTTTCCTTGCCCTCTCACCCTCTCCCTCTTCCCTTCCTCCCTTTAATCGTTTTTTGAACTTACTTGATGTTATCGTAACCCTTCTAATCACCAAATCTTCACACGAATAATAGCTGAAAAATACCAAAATGGATTATGAAATGCTCAAAGAAGGATATTTTGCTCTGAGCAGTGCTGAAATGCATAGACCGCCTTGGGATGTAATATTTATTTCTGCCTTTGAGAAAGTGGCTTTACTGTGCAGCTATGGTGGGGTAAGACCGGGTTGTTTTATCAAAAGCAAGAATAACTGCTAAATCTGCCTGAGGAGCAGATGTGAGACAGAAGGAGGTGCCAGTCCCCAACACGTGTCACACCAAACAGGTTTTGCTTCAGGGCAGACTCTCCAATTTAATGACGTTATTTGGTAGAGATTGCAATATTGATAACGTCATCCGGACCACATCCATCATTCTAATTGTGCAGCGAAGTTTGGTTTTATCTCACAACTTTGCTTGACTGGTCAACATTCTTGGTGTCAATCCAACCTGGTTTTCCCAGCTTTTTTGTGACTGTTTCTCATAAACTGCAACCCTGTCAGGAGGTCCCCCTTATCTGAGAATCTGAAATGTTGCACATGCGAGTGGAGTAAATATCCGTACTACCTCATTCCATCCAATCAAAATAACAAGAAATAAACTTTGTGGAAATTGGGAGAAACAGAGTAGAGTTATCCAGGGTCATTGTGAAGCGGTCGGGACAACATAGTCTGCATGTTAATTGTACCTACCAGGTACATTGTTTGACCGGTGAAGGCTTCACATCTGCTCGTTTTTTGCCTTCGTATCATGCCTACATGGTCTGCATAGTATCTACACACTTCCATGAAGTGAATTTCAAGCGTCACCCATTTATTTCAAAACCACCCATTTTGTTAATTCAGGTGGTCTGCATCAAAATAAGGAATTGCCCTTTTAATGCATGCAAATCCCTTTTATGATTGGCTTTTTTTATCGTGTCAATCTGCGGGATACTCTCCTAGCAGCAGCCTTCATACCGGTGAACATGGACTTTTGGAGGGCGTTTTCACTCACACCAGGCTTAAACAACATCAAATCTTTGATACGAATGACCACCTCTTCCAGCTGCTTCACCACAATGTCTGTTAACTTGGTTTGTGAGAAATCATCTTATACTTTTAAAGCCTCACTCGCGTGAAAGATATGGCCAAAGTTAGGGCTGAACAGATGAAAGAAATGCTCCTCCTCAATGCCAAACATATCATAATTAGGAGGGAAGTAATAATAAAAGGGCAAAAAAGAGAGCTTTTGCAGTATAATGGACCCAGGTGAATACTGCAAACAAAAAATTTAAATGAGGCGATGTGACAGTGTACTTGAATTTGGTGGAGGAGCTCTTAGAGGAACTGCACTGGGATTACAGGCATGGCTTGTCAAACGCTACCCGTACTCTATGCCTCAAACCACTCAGTGCAAAAGCTATGCTTGTGAAGTCATTGCGCGCCAATTAATTGCGATTTTTGTCATCGCTTTGATCACATCAGCCACTTCTTAACCCTGGGCATGAAAGTTGAACGACGAAGGTGAGATCAAGTGAGAAGCGTGGTGTTAACTTGAGACAATTCGGTATCTACTTCTTCACGCTTGCACACATTCGATGGTCACACTGGCAAAGAAGTGAAGAAAGCAAATTTGTTTGTAGCCCATACAAAAGAATGGGTTACAGCGGTTAAAAAGAAGACCTATTTAATTTGGCGGGTGGACTTTGTTGACCCACATGACCACCCGCATCGCCTGACATATAACAGTGATTCATGGAATAAGGAAGCAACCAAAATCACTAGTAAAATTATTTACGTTCAAGTAGACTCAAGTCAATAAGAAAGGGGGTCTAGCGTAGAGCATTACAGCTGTGCATCCCCGCCCCCACACCACACTGTCAATCACATCACCTCGCAGCAAACATGCATCTTGTGTGGTCACAATCACCCTCCCAGCAATCCACGTAGACAACGGCACACAACTCCACACATAACTACACAGAGTTCGTCATGGTGTAATGCGGTTTTGTACAGCTGCACTACTGTTTGGGAATGAAATGAGGTCCACGATCCAGATAAAGTAAGCAGCACGTAAAAGCCGGTCCCAACAGAAAGTCAAACAAAGTTCTCCGTATCCAATGCTGTGCTGCGATTATGATGGAGAATGTGAAGGCTAACGCCGTGTTTCCATTAGCCCACGTAGATTGACTCAATGGAGTAGATGATGCACAAGAAACCAATGTTGACGCACAAAAACAATTTGTTCAGAGCACTCACAAGCAAAAGTAAACCTCTTGTTTCCTCTGCCCTTTAAGAAAAAAGCATAAATCATACTTCACTAGTAAGTTTTAGACACCGAGTAAACCAAGCAGCAACCAAACTGCGTGACAAAGATTGTCAAGATGCTCCGATTCTACCAATTTGCCGGAAGAAGTAGGCAAATGGCAAAGAGGTTAAAGAACGCTCTGGCTGTCATGTCTTCCCAGATTTTTAAAAGTCATTTACTAAAGCCCAAAATACCCATCTCTAGATTAAATCTTGCTAATTTGTATCGCTTGGTAATTAAACCTTTCACGATTAAACTGTCAAGTGCGATTTTCAGCAGAGCCGTCTGCAATCATTCGCTTTTAGTAGTAGGGGCTCGCGAAATGCGTGTAATTGTTTAGCCACACAGTACAAAGCAACAAAATGTGTTGTTGAGTCTATTGGCATGATGTCGTGCATTGGATACTCTGCTATCCTCGCACCATGATTGAGCCCGCATAAACTGTCGGTTGAAAGTACCCGATGCAGTTGAGACTGGTTTGGTTCCCCTCTTCTCCGCTTGACTCCAAGCTTTTAATAAAAATGACTTCTGCATTCAGGAGTTGAGTGAAAATATTTCTGTTCTGTGTGTGATAAATCTGAGACCCAAACTATCAATTGGCATAGGCCAGACAGCAATTACGGTTGAGCTTTACCTACTGTGGACTGCTCCACTGTGTGATAGCAACACCATCTACTCTAGGGAAACGGCAGGACTAGTCAAGTAACTGAAAGAAGAGCCTCTTCACAACCCTTATCTACGGCGCAACGCAAGGCAGGATTTTACACCTCATGGCTTATACTACATGCTCCAAAACCGAACCTTTGGAAAAGCGCGAGGGATAGAAGGAGGGGGATATGGAGAGGGAAGGAGACGAGTGGTGGGTGGAGATAAAGATGGAGGAACCACGTCATGTCCATCCTTCTTACTCCCTTATCCACATTTTGCTAGGCGTTGGTCATTAACCTTTCTCGACATCAGATCATCAAGTGCAAAATAGAATAGAAAGTATGGCGACAAAAGGGAGGCAGACACGCAAGTGGATAATGCTGCGTTAACTTGTTTACTTTTAAAGACAGAACGCTCCATTATAGAATTTGCAAGCTAGGGTCTCGATGAAAGGATGCTAGAATGTAGTTGTGACTAATTCAGCAAACATGCTATTTGAGAAGACAACTTACTAATCCCTAGAAATTACGCCGAAAGGGAACTTTTCTTCAGTTGTTTGCGTCATTCAATGTGAGGGTAACATGTGCTCTCCTCACAATAAGGAGGTCTGGTTCTGAAGCCGCCTCTTGTGGAAAAGCAGTGCCACAAATTTGACCAAGCAACTCATACAACGACAAATTTTTAGTAAATGCCTCATTTTACTATAATTTGAAAGAGTATTGGGACATCCGCGAGGTGTGTGGATGGAGTGGTGTTTTAGAAGAACCGGTAGCAATGCAGTCAAATGAAAAGACAACTGAACAAACTTCCACACTCAAAGTAACTACAACGCACTTAATCGTGCTTCCATGGTAAATGCCCCTCTAACTTGAAAGAAGAAGGCAGCAGCTGCAAAAGCACAGCCCCTCTCCACTTTTGAGCGTAGTCTCCAACGCTCCTCGTGCTCAACCTCCCGCATCAGCCATCAAAACGCAGTCTGTGTTCCAAGGAAACACCCGCGAGCTAGCCATGCTGTTCATCAAATTTCCATGCAGCCAAGGCGATAACTGACTTTAGAGTCACTGATCCCTCTTGGCAATTCAAATAAAGAAAGAGTTTCGTCCGTTATGGGAAATGATTACAGGGACAGAGAAATGTGCTGGCCATCACGCCTATCCATAAACAGTTGAAGACGCACTGGCCTAAAAGCAAACTTATATCCGGAAGGGCGGGATTTAGCAAAGGTTCGTGAGGAAGGGTTTCGCATCTGTTCCTCCTTGCTCCGTTATTCTCACTTCGGAGCTGCCCAGTCGTAAATATTCGAGCTATACCTACTAAGTGGAGAAGTGGAAGATGTGTAGCGAGTTCATTTTATTGGTAACTTTATGCAGGTACGATAGGGAAACCTTGCAATAAAATCATTCCAGATGGCTCATGGTCAGTGTCGCTTCAGCTGTTAGTAGCTCTCCTGCAGAACAGGGACTGGAGTATTTGCCAAGGACAGACGCCAATTATAGCCCTTCCGTTTGGGGTGATAGAATCATCTCTTCAACCAGACGGTTTACTTCTTCCAGCAAAGTTCGCTACCAGATTAGTCTAGCTTCACCAGTATCGGTCGTGTGCTTGACAATATTTGTTTTTACCAGATTAGCACCTTGCCATGAGAAGATGTTCGCATACTTAAGCGAAGGCTCACAAATTTCGTTCCTTTTGTCATTGAAAATGTGGATCTTCTGCGCACAAAGTTTAACGAGATTGTTCATGAGAATGTCTACAGCTTCAAAAAGGTGACGCAGACGTCATCTGCGTCATCTTTCGGTAGCAAAGTATCTACGTTGGCCTTGGTGACTCAGTGAGTAAAAAAGGCTCCTTCTACAAAATTTAAGGCGGCTTTGGTGTGGCGTTGGAAATCAGCACCAAGTATCACGTCCCAAGCGAGTTCGAGACATGTAATAAGTTTCATTATCCAGGTTTCCCTCCCTATACACACACGCGTAATGACGCCTCCTCTTTAAGTGACATCTCCCTTCCTTCTACTGAAAATAATTTTGTAGAAGTGGAGAGAATCCTAATCCTGTTACAAAGGGTAGGATAAGCTTGGATATTTATTACTAGTCCAGCTGAACCCGGGCAGAGAAGAAAGTTGCAGGAATGTCTTTCAAGTTTATAAGGCACCTGCATATATGAATGGATGCCACTTGAGAGCAGACAGGAAAGAGAAAAGGAAGCCTTACCTGGTCTACGGGCATAGCTTGGAGAGACGGGATGCAAGAATGTTTAGGGCTTCTAGTGGATCGGGGTCGCCCGGAGTTCATGCCGCTTCTTGGTTGCGAGTTGGTCTTTTTGTCTCAGAGCTTCTCAACCGTATCAGGAGGTCGGACTCCGCGGCTAAACTGGATGGTTATGCAGTTAGTCACCTTGTTTGGAGGACAGCTACTGAAAGCACGTTCGGCTAGATGTTAAAAATTCGTAGTGTACTCTTCGTCGCTGGCGAGGGTCTGTTCTTCCCGACTGATGACGAGTTGAGCCAACGTATTGCAGCCTTACCATATCGTAGGTGATACCAGCGTCTATTGCGGACGAAAAGAAATCATGGGGGAGACCGCGGAGAATAGGGTATGTTCTTCGGCAATGGGGATAAAGATGGAGGTTAAATTTATCGGTTTTAAACCAATCTTTGAAGTTCATGTCGTCTCTGAATGAGGGAAGGTCCGCCGACTCTGCCACTTGTGTAGAATCAGGCTTGTTGATCTCCTCTTCCCTCGCTTTCACACTCTCGAGCACCCAAGCTGATTTGGTCTTGGTATGTTTATTGGTTAAAATGAATAGTGGGAGGGTGGATACAAGGTTAGGGATGCTTGGGCACAGAAAATTTCTACGGACTATGGATGTTGGCAGCTCCTCAATCACTAAAGAAAGAAACACTTAAATAACATAAGTATTACATGTGCACATGTATTTGCATTGACATGCGCATGTATCGGAGTGAGCTGACATCATTTTTGCTTCATTAATTATGAAGCACATTAAAAATTTGTTTTTTGATTTCACATGTGAAAAATTATAATGGCATACAAATGTAATGCTGGATGATTCATAAGGTTAAATTGTTCAACATGTCTTTCTCATTTCATCAATAAGACCCGGTTCTTGGCTGTTGAGGGCCCGTTTGTTATGGGGGAAAATTAAAATAAATAGTGAGTCCACATGGTGCCAATGGCGTTTCGGACCCCTAATTCGACAAGAATCTGTCTGTTTTTAACAAGGTAACATCTGATAGGCATCGAAGCATTGTTGGGCAACGTCAAATACTAATCCCTTCTTGGTCAATTAGTCCGTGCCATGTTCCGAATTGCAATTTATGCGTTGTTTTCGTGCCATTTGTGTGTAAGCAGATTCTATGTGGGTGTTTTATGCGACAATATGCCTTTACCTCTAATTCTCCTATATTTTTAATGCATGAGAAAAGTTCTATTGTTTGACTTACTATAATGTCCGCTTTAGTGTAACCTATTGTGCAAATGGGAGGCTTCGCATTGTAGGCTTTAAAGAGGCTAAAATAACCACTGCCTTTTGTAAGTGTGGTGAAATTTTTACCAGGTCTAGTCTGCTCGAGAATCTAAGGCATGCGTTGGAGCAGGTGGGCAGACATAGGAAAAGGGGCAAATGGAATGTCTTCAGACACCGCGCTGAATAGTCTGATTCAAGTTTCACCAGCTGCTTACTATTCTCGGTTTATCCCGCTTGTGCATATTTGGTTAGGGGCTTTGTTTGTTTGTTTCGTCACCGAAGTCTGTGAGTTGTTGGAAAAAGTGTATTTTTTTGCTGAGTCAGGAAGTGTGAGTTGTCAAATGCCTGTGACGCGGGTGTTGGTGGTAGTGGCCGCGAGGCCGAGGTGGTGGTCGGTGCGTCAGTAGAGGTCTGACTGGTAGCCCTTCCAGGGTTGACTGTTTGGTCAAAAATGTGTTCCTGTGACTATAAATTGACAAGAGTGCGACTTTTATGTCAGTGCTCCCTTAAATGGCGATGGTTGTGCGTCGGCCAATCCAATTCCCTCTCGATTGGACGAAAGTTTAGTGAAGCTGAGGCTGTGTTTAAACTCAATTACAAGGGAATTCTGTACCTGACATAATTGACCAGTGGGTTTCTTTCTTACAGTACCGATTACACTGTGACGATCAATGCGGGAGGGCGATTGACGGGAGCGCAGGTGACAATATACAGGAAAATGCGTTCATTGTTTGCTCAGCTCTCGGTTTTAGTTTTGGAGCCAGTAGACTGGCCTTCAAGCCATGCCAGTGGCTCGAAGCCCTTCTGTATGTGTAATGTATGTATCAACTGCCCGAGTATTATGTACTCTTTCGTCTTAGGGAAAATCGCCTGACACTACAAGCAATGTAACCGCGTTAGAAAAGGGTTGTATATCTATTGGGCAGGAATTTGTTGCTTGCACGGGAATAGTGCTTCTATATGTACTGCAGAGAAGTCCTTGTTTCCTCCCTACTGGCTAGTAGCAGAGATGAAGTACTATAAGTATACTGACAATTACTTGAGGGCTGTAGGCCACGGTAAAACAGTTGCTATGACCACGCACTACTGGAATCGCAGACTTGGACTCGGATACAGACTCAGACTCATGCTTGGGCTTTGACGAGGACTCGGTCTCAGGCTGACCCCAGTAAGCAGCTGTGTCAACAATTGCGCATACCCCTACAAAACTGTTCATTAAAATGCTTTTATAATGAACCATCGCCCATCTAGAATTTCAGTGACTTACGAACTGGTGAGCTCCACGCTTTCGTCAGCAGCCCGTTCAGATCGCACTCAATGACACGCATCCTTAAGCACATAGCAATCATTAGCTTTCACTTTCACGTATTTGATCGAAACTTTTGCGATTTATTCTGACTTTAGTCGCTGATTAAAAGCAGTCCTCATCTCTTGCTCTTTGCTACAGTGAAGGAGCTGAAAAGTGGAGAATAGCCTTGCATCTACCAGAGTAGAAAGATGGAAGGTTGAGATGCGTCAGCTCAGAATTTCTCCTATTCGGGTCAAATACCAAGTATCTTTAGTTTGTTTCCATTATTCTGCTAACATTGCTTTAGCGTTTATCAGATATGCAAAGGAAGTAAAGTCTGGAATTTGATGGAACTAGTCATTCTAATCCAGTTGTGCCGAAATCTGCAGCAAATACATTCTCATAAATAGTAGGAGCTTGGGGCAATAACCAGTGAATAGTTCATGCAAGTGACGTTTGAAGGTTGAGGCAGATAGCTTACAAACAGGCATTTCAGTGGAATCGCAAAGTGAAAAGTCTCGCAGAAGTTTAATTGGGTGAGCGTGTTTCGTCTCATGCAGACATTTGCGCTGCTTGTAAGGTCAAATTTGTGAACTTTTAACAGCCAACTGCTTCTGGACAGTAGAAAGTATGTTACGACAGTAGGTGGGTCCACATAATTCAACAGAGGCGTACTGTAATCACCTCTCGCCATTCAGTGAACTAACTAGCCAGTGGGTGGATACGGGATGAGAAAAAGACGGAGAGGCGAAGAGACGAATAGATGGGCTAACGAAGGAGCAACCCGATTTATAGATTAAGCAGTCAAACCATTTGACGCTTAGGCGGTGAGGCAGGGAGTGAGGTGCACGTAAGAGATGTAGAATGCAGGGATAGGTGGATGAAGGTTTTGAAAAGTGGACATGTGGGTGTATGCACGTGGCACTGTGTGGTGTAGTGCGACACCACGTGAAGGAAATGAGTAGAATCCATGCCAAACATCCAAGCAGGCGCGCAAAGCTGCTAATGTCCCTCAACCCACTCTCTTGCTCTTCCATGACGAGGCCTAGCCGAGTGTCCTTCACTGCTTTTCACCCTGCATATTAGACGCGACTGTGTGATGTGCTTGAGTATTTGGGAAGCAGAATCTCTATAGCCGAGACTTCATATTTTGGTAGTTGGTGAGAAAAGTAACTGCCCCAACAGGGGCTGATGGCTGGATCATGGAATGCTTGAGAGTTTCTTGTTTCCTACTTATAGGTTGCGTGACGATCTGTAAAAAACTGGCATCTGAAGAGCCGATTTCGCTGGGCTTTTGCCACTGTCGACTTTGAAGCATGTATGCACTGTCCAGACGCAGTAATACTTAGCCTAGGAAGGACATGGATGTGTGAGAACTCCATATAAATGTATGTGTAGGGGTAACGATAATGAATCCTTTTTTTGTGTGGAAGATTAAACCTTTTCTATTTGTGTTTGTTCTACGTTTCATGTTATTCTAACCGATCATTTGTACCGACTGATTAAGCAGAACTTGCAGTTGAAATTTGACATCGCTGCAATTTTTGAGGTGAAAATATGCGGGAACCCTCAAACACAATTCAAGTAATATGAATAATATGTGATCTCACACGGATGAGAAGTTATGGCACTTTGCGGGCGAAGCCAAGTGGTTTCTCAAACCGCGACATTTTTGCTTATTAGTAAATGCTGCCTTATTGCATAAATTTCAACTGAACATAAGCCGTACGCATACATCTCCTGTAGAAACGCAAAGACAAATTTACATCAACCACCTGGGCAGTTACGACTTTGGTGGAATGGAGGGTTTGCGTGCATTCTCCAACGAAAGCTGTCTTTGTGCATGCACCCAGACATCATAATGCGTTTCTTTGCAGCTAAAATTAATTGGAGTAATGGATAAGGTAAAGTATGCATTGAAGCCTCCGGAATGTCTGCGCACAAAGGCTAAGGACTATCAGTATGACTGGCAGTTTAATCCAACTGAACTAAAATAAAGTTAAATGCTTGGTGATTTCCTATTTTATTTCAGCCCCTCAAGCATTCGCTGTAGGAGCAGTAAAGTGTTCCGCATTTTGGTATTTGATGGCACCGTCAAAATAACCGCTTTTGTTTGCTGCAGTCTGGCATGGTACGATTAGCTGAATTATGCAATGCCAAGCTATCTAGTAGATGCTGCAAATACTTTTCCATTTTTGACTGTTATTTGCAAATTTAACTACCATATATAAAAGGGAAAAGATTTTGTCCTAATTTGTGACAGGGCAGTCGCTAGCGCAGTTACCTGCAGCGTGAGTTAAGGAAGATGTCTTCACTCCCCATCTAACGAAAAGCCTATCATACGGTGCTAGAAACATAAGCCCAGTTTCCCTATTTATCCATCCTTCTATCATGTATACATCCAACCTGTATGCATTTAACCGCATATTTTTATATGTCTCTGCACAAAATGTTCAGATTATTTTAATTGCGTATATTATTGAGCTTGGGGAAGAAAATACATTAACCACCTGTGAGAAATCACGAATTGAATGTGTGCTGCCTTTCTCTAATACTTAAGTGGCTATTCTCGCGTAGGCGGAGTGGTTACCGTTGGGAAGTGTATTCCCCTACATAAAATTTACTGTCACTCATGACAAAGGCCTGATTAAATGCACTAGAAATAGTTTTGACGCAGAAAAGAAAGAGACTGAATGACGCAAAGGGAATACGAACAAGATGTATCAGGCCTATGATTGTGACCTCTACTAGCGAGATACCGTGGTTTAAGAAGCCGGTAATGTGCACCGATGCTGATGATACTAATCAGTTCGGAGCTAGAGACGCTTCCTACATAGACAAAGCTAAGGGGGATTAAATTGATGCGGAGTAAGTCTGCTGGGGAGGCCACTGCCATGTGGTAGAGGGATCTGTGAAAACCTGAGCTTTGGCGTTTGCCTTCACAATCACATTTGTGGCAATTTGTTTCGCCCATGTCCGCAATGTGGCTGATGGTTCATTTCTTTCTTGATATGCTTACTGGCACATGAAAGCAGCTGTTCTGTTCAGACTACCATAAGTTTGGGCAATCAAAATTTTTGTGAGTGAGTCTGGTAGTAGAACACCTTGCATAGTGTAAGTAACGAATTGTCTCCATCTGCCATGAGGCTCTAGGTCTTTTCAATGTGCTGCTTTGTTAAGAGCGCCGCCTTTCATTCATTAACACTTTACTGTCTCTGCAGCAGATGCTAAAGAGACTGTAACTCATTAGGTATTCAATTAGCATTTACTTACTTATAGGTTTTAAATAAATTTAACTGACAGACATGCCAATAGCCCTTACCAATTGCAGACAGGCAACTTGAGAAAATGTGAACATTTTCACTTTAATTTAAGGGATGGCACAACATATAAGAAAATCCTGCACGTCCGCGACGGGTGTATTTGCGAGGAAGAACAGTTGTGATATGGTCAAGTTATTTTGCAGATGTTAAGGGGATTAAATGTTGGACATCATCGACGACAAGAAATGCGGCATAATTAATCGTGGAGAATGGAGGAGAGACACTCCTCCGCCCGCTAAATAACAAATCCAACGTAAAGTAACTTGTGCATTCAAGTTTTCCCTACACGGTGGTTTTTTTAAAAGCAGGCCAGGTCCTCTCTCAAGAATTGGGGTCGCACCGCGAAAAAGGACACAAAGCCCACACAAATCACCACGTGACTGGGATGTGAGCGAGCGCCCCACGTCGGAGCTCTGGCCATGTCGCCGAGGCGTGCGCCAATCACATAACAGCAGCCACAGCAGTAAAGCCGCACGTTAGAAGGGGTACGGTAACATCAAGTAAGTGCAAAAAAACACTATGACTAAAGGGAGGACGATGGAGGGGGGAGGGAGGGAGCACGAGGGAAGGCGAGAACGGAGGGGAGGGGACTACCTGTGGTTTTGTCTATCAACGTGAGACTCGTCAACTGAGCACATAGTGAGGGTGGACCTCACAAATGCTACCTACCGTCCATTGGTTAATTAAGGGGGTGGGAGGATGGGGGCCTGACAACAGTGTGGCCTACGCCTGAGGACAGTCATCGCCGGCAGCACTCGGCCGCCCACCCCACCGTCTAGCGGAGTCGCAGCTCCAGGCCATGGAGAAGGCCCAAGACAGAACTCAAAGACAATGCATCTTGCGTCTAGGGGTGGACAAGGGAGAATAGCGAAGGGAGAAGGGGGAGAGGAAAGGTGGGAGCGGGTAAGTGAACCGATTGCTTGTGCCTATACCTCCGTGATTCAATTAAAGTAAATCAGCATGTCATATGCATGCCAATGTGTGCAAACCACCACCACCTTCTACTTACAATGAGTAGTAATGATGTAATCAAAATGGAGCGATGTGCGCCAGAAACACTCGCCACAGAGGGAGAGGAGGAGGAGGAAGACGAAGAGACGCGCCACTTCCAGCGTCTCACTCGAAGAGAGGGAGAGAGATAGTCAGATGACACTGACTAGGGTGCAACGATTCCGACAAGCTCGCTCACACTGCGCAAGACGGCGTATGCATACATTCCGGCGTCACAGCTCAAATCATCGACGGAGAAGAGTGTACTCAAGTTCCCTTTCTGAAGGACACTGCAGCTGTTTCCACGTCCGCAAAACACGACGCACCCTACAAAAATGGGTAGCATAACAGCTTGCATAATGCAACTGTCACAAAGCAGTCGTGGGAAGACTTTGGGAAGAATGGTAATTGTGATCTTGGGTCAGAAATATGTAGATGGAAACAGTTAAGGCACAAAAGGTATAACAACAACCCACGAATTAAAATGCATTCTTACCTGAGAACAGAACAGTGTAACAGCAAAGCTCAATTTCAAATGTAATGTTCTTCAGCTGTCACTTGAAGCCTATTAGATACATCCTAAAACAAAAACAAAACCTTGCCCACTTAGAGTCCCGGATTGTCATAAGCACAAACAAAAGCCACAAAACTTACGGATTCTTCTTTTCTACCAACATGACGCTTTCTAACCAAAACTTCGGCGTCAACGTGAACAGCAAAACCAAATTAAGGCGTTTAGGAAAATGATAGTATGCAATTAACCAGTTCACCGAAATGAAAGTGAAAAATAAGGCAACTTAGGTCATGATTTTACTGTTAAAAAGGTTATCAAAAACTTCAAATTCGAATAAGAATATTTTTTGCTTTACTAAGTAAAAACGGTAGTTGACAAAATGTTTAAAAATATTTGGCTCAGAGTAAGTGAAAAAGGCTAATTATGCCGCCTTTCAACAGGCAAATGTCAAATTTGGCAAGAAATCCCGCTTATGAAAAGTTAAAATTGCCAAATGTCAAGGCACGCAATAAAATGCAAAATTAAAGCATTTGCGGAAACCAAAGAAAAACAAACAAAACACTACTTGTGCCAAAATAGATTTGAACCTCTAAAAATCAGACAAATAAAGTTGTATATACACATGAAGGTTAGAGGAAATAGGAGGCTAAAAGCTACAACAGTGGACCAAAAGTAGTAAAGGTAGTCCAAATATGAAACATGACGCAATGTAAGGACTACTCAGTTCTTGGCAGAAATCCAGGCAAGGCGAAGGTCAGGCTGTGGGGTGAGACTCCTCGGTCTCCGCGTCCCGATTCCTAGCGTTTCTATACAAGCCCGGTTGGTTTGCTTTGGACATCTTTATTAAAGACGACAAGATGTATAGGGAAAATACAATATTCAAGAAGGAGGGGAGCCGCAGTCACTAGGTAAGGGAGAGGGCGATCCAGTTACCAGGTTCGAATTTCCTGCTTGCCTCCTCCCTGAAAGGCAAATTCAAACAACATAAGTATTACAAGGCTGCTCAATGTAATGATTCCCTGGCCAGCTTTGAGGCCAGATTAAGGTCAATTGACGCCATAGCGGCAGCTTCCAGCGGGAACCCAGGCCAGAGAAAGGTCAACTACCCCTATATTAGCTGGAAATTCACCAGCTTTATCAGAGAGTAAAGTTGGTGTCAATTAACCTAAACATTTAATTGGCACTTGTCCTCGGTCGGGAGATATTGTAAGTAGACTTGAGTAAAACGTCAACTTTAAGACACTCGCTTTCACTAATTTGGCCGATTGGCCAATTTTAGCTCACCGGCACCGTCCAACAGACAAACAAATAAATAACGCAGTCAGAATATGCATTGTTGACAAATAGCAATTTCCCCCACTTCGATAAACAGCTGGTCGTGAATTCGTGAAACAGTTTTCCTGTTTTACGATCCTGCATGGACGGATGCGTTGTACTGGCCCCTTTAATGAGCCTTAGAATGACAGGCAAGTGGGACGTGGAATGATGGTGCAAGCACCACCTCACGACATCGTTGTGAATGCGCCAGTGGTTGAACACACCCAACCCTCCCTTGGCATGTGAGAGTGAGACAAGTGCTGGGCGTGGTGATTTCGCACAGGCTCCTCTATTCAAAATACGTTTTTTTAACCCAATTTAGCTTATATTAGAACAAAAGCAAGTGATGGATTGAGAGAATACCGCTACCATCCAGTTACTTTGATGCACTGAGCGCAAGTGTTTCAATCCTTATCAAGTAGTAGTGGTGATGTATGATGTCCTTCCTAATGCAGCCTAAACCAAGGGGTAAAATTTGGTCTTTAGAACAGCAGACAACAATCACTTGATGAATGCTACTACTACATAGGCCCCTCGCAAAGGATTTCCACATTGCTAATGCGAGTGCTCACACCATATGCGTCGACATTTGGCTGTCGTCATTCTCTCACCTTGTAGGCAGTCGCCGCACCACTCTGGCGGTTAAGTGACATTAGTTGATACTCATATATTCTGTAAGCACACTCAATTCTTAAGTGGATCACCTCTAGCACATTCCATCAGCCCTGTGGGCACTTGCATCCACCACATCACTTACAAGTGACTTACGACGTGCTGGTAGACGTGGATTGCGTGTAACATTACTGTCTGGTTGAAAGCAACGCCCCAGTTACTGCAGGCGTAATTAAACAAATGAAAAATTTGGTGTCTGTCTAGACTAATATGCAATTCATACATTTATTCACAACTGGCTCTGTGAAACCGAAGTTGGAGTCACGGGAGTAAAGCAATCTTATTTTCTCCTGCTTTGGTTAAGCGTGAGACTGAGTGCCAATTCAGACAGTGACTTGTAGAATTACATGTCACACATTATCACCATACGATGCTCGTTCCAGTGATTGATTGGAGCAAAACCGCCCACACCCGTTTAAGCAATTGCAAAATATGGCATTGCGAAATCTTTAACGCAGTAGCTACCTCCACCGCCATACACGAACAGCACAAAGTGGATGATTCCCCAAGCATTCTTTACTACACCTCAGTGGCAGTATGCCTGCTTTGCTTAGATGCACCTCCCAAACATATGTAGGTGGAAGTGGAAAAGAGAGGAACTGAGCCCCTTACACTGCTTATAGCGCTGGCCCATCCTCCCCTTGCAGAAGAGACATTAGCTTCTGGAAGTTGTTGACACCAAAAATTACTTGTTCAAAGTAATACGGTGAGGGCATAAAGGCACGCAAGTTTGGTAGCTGCGTATGTGGGCAACGCGATAGCCTTATCAAGGGGTAAGCTTAAATTCGGACTGTGAAAGGCTTGCCCTAATTTGACCAAGGAAATAGAGGAAGTCAAGTAAAATCTTGGCTGCAAAGCAGTCACAGAGATTGATGAACACAGACAGGTGTGTGTAAGGAAGCGTTCCACATGGATCGTGGCTGACATCGCCTCATTGCTATTTGCCAGCCTCATTCATGAGCCGCATATTGGCACACACACGAAGGAGGTGGAATGATGGCGCTAGCAACTCGTGACACCATCGCTGTAGATGTGGCAATGGTTTGGCACACTCACTCATTCGTTGGCATGTGAGTGTGTGACAAGTGTTAGGTGTGGCGATCTCGCACAGTAGTCCTCAACAAAATCAAATTTCCCACCCAATGTCATTAGATGGCAGATGTTTTCATGAAATTGAAGCAATGTTATCTCCCATTGAACAGAAAATTACCAGAATCTACCGTCTGTTTTGACACGATGTGCAAAGAGGTTCCAACTCCATTGAAATGGAAGTGGTATATGACGTTGTAAGAAGGCTAACAGCAAGGAGTAAAGAATATATTGGCAGATGTCCTCATGCACATAGTGCATTCAATTCTTCTGCCAGTAGGAAGGATGAGAGAGCAGGAATGTTTCAATTTTAATGGAATATTAGCGATGTATTATGCAAAACCGCGGTTTTGGCTTGTTTCTCG